GGTCACAGTTTTCCTGCAGGAGCTGGGGGTGTCACAGTTTTCCTGCAGGACCTGGGGGGGTGTCAGAGTTTTCCTGCAGGACCTGGGGGCCAGCAGTTTTCCTGCAGGACCTGGGGGGGTCACAGTTTTCCTGCAGGACCTGGGGGTGTCACAGGGGCTGCAGGACCTGGGGGGGTGTCAGTTTTCCTGCAGGAGCTGGGTGTAACTGTTTCAGCCGCAGAACCTGGGGTGTTACAGGGGCTGCAGGACTGGGGTGTCACATTTTTCCTGCAGGACTTGGGGGTGTCACAGGGGCTGCAGGACTTGGGGGTGTCACATTTTTCCTGCAGGACCTGGGGGTGTCACATTTTTCCTGCAGGACCTGGGGGTGTCACAGTTTCCTGCAGGACCTGGGAGTGCCACAGGGGCTGCAGGAGTTGGGGCTGTCACAGTTTTCCTGCAGGAGCTGGGGGGGGTCACAGTTTTCCTGCAGGAGCTGGGGGTGTCACAGGGGCTGCAGGACCTGGGGGTGTCACAGTTTTCCTGCAGGACCTGGGGGGGTGTCAGAGTTTTCCTGGCCTGTTTGTGACTGGCAGCTCCTCCGAGGCTTTCCCGTGTGGGCTCCAGGGCCTGCCGGGGGGGATATGGGGGGCCACCCCAAAGCCCTGTGAGGTTTGACCCACCCTCCCCCTCCACACACTCACACACCACCCATGAGGTGATTTGACCCAACAATCACTGAGCTGATGTCTGACAATGGGTGGGGCAGGCAGAGCTTTTCCAGGCAGCCTCTGCCAGGGCCTCACCACCCTCACAGGGAGGAATTTCTCCCCCAAATTCCCCATAAATCCCCTCTCCTTCCCCTTAAAGCCGTGGGAGGGGGTTCCTGCACCTCTTCCAGGTGTCTCCCCAGCAAAGGAGTTGGTGCCCAGCGGGAATTGCTGGGGAAAATTGGAGGATCGAGAAAGGACTGAGCGGGACAATTGCCAGGCTGGGAGAGCTGAGGGGGCTCACCTGGAGCAGGGAAGGCTCTGGGGGGACCTTCCAGCACCTTCCAGTGCCCAGAGGGGCTCCAGGAGAGCTGGGAGGGACTTTGGACACCTGAAGGTGGCCTCACTCTGGAAAAGAGGGTGTTTAGATGGATCTGAGAGAGAAATCTTTAGCTGTAAGGACTGGAATGAATCTCCCAGAGAAGCTGTGGCTGCCCCGTCCCTGGAGCTGTTCCAGGCCAGGTTGGACAGGGCTTGGAGCCACCTGGGCTAGTGCAAGGTGTCCCTGCCCATGGCAGGGGCTGGGATGGAACGAGCTTCCAGGTCCCTTCCCCCCTAAAAAACCATTCCAGCTTTCCAGTGTGTGCTGCTCCGTGTTTGGGAGGGTGGAAACGGGGGCAAAAATGGGAAAAATTGGATCCAGTTCGGGAGGGGAGGGAAGGGACAAGGGGAGGGGTAAGGGGAGGGAAGGGAGAAAAGGAATGATGGAATGTCCTGAGTGGGAAGGGACACACAAGGACCAAAATCCCAAGTGCTGTCCCTGCACAGGACCACCCAGAATCCCAGTGATCCCACGCCCACCCATGTCCCCTTCCCCTGCCAGGATAGGGCAGCTGGATGCGCTGGCAGCGGGGCAGGAGGGGCTCAGGCCCGTCTGCCTGGTGGAGAATTCCCAGGAGGAGGGGCTGGTGGTCTATCCCGAGGCCCTGAAGGTGCTGTCAGGGGTCAAACAGCCCGTGGTGGTCGTGGCTGCCATTGGGTCTGACCAGGAAGGTGAGTGGAGTCCCACCTGAGGGACAGGTGAGTGGAGTCCCACCTGAGGGACAGGCTGGGAAGGGGAGGGAGGTCCTGCCCTGCATGGCTGAGGCAGCGGGATGGGTGGGGTACCTGGATGGGTGGGGTACCTGGACGGGTGGGGTACCTGGATGGGTGGGGTACCTGCATGGGTGACATACCTGGATGGGGTACCTGCATGGGTGACATACCTGGATGGGGTACCTGCATGGATGGGGTACCTGCATGGGTGACATACCTGGATGGGGTACCTGCATGGGTGACATACCTGGATGGGGTACCTGCATGGATGGGGTACCTGGATTAGGTACCTGGATGGGTGAAGTATCTGCATGGATGGGGTACCTGCATGGTTGGGGTACCTGCATGGTTGGGGTACCTGGATGGATGGGGTACCTGGATGAGGTACCTGCATGGTTGGGGTACCTGGATGGATGGGGTACCTGGATGAGGTACCTGCATGGGTGGGGTACCTGGATGGATGGGGTACCTGGATGAGGTACCTGCATGGTTGGGGTACCTGCATGGTGGTTGGGGTACCTGGCATGGTGAGGTACCTGCATGGATGGGGTACTGCATGGTGGTTGGGGTACCTGGGAGGCCAGGGTGGTACCTGGGAGGCCAGGGTGGTACCTGAGTGGCCGAGGTGGGGCCTGCTCCTTCCCCCTCTGTTTCCCCCCTGTGCAACACCCGTGTCCCCCCAGGGGTCTCCGGGGACCCCCCCCCCAGCCGGATGTGGATGTGCTGCCTCCCCCACCCTCACCTGTCTGACCACACCCTGGTCCTGCTGCACACCGAGGTGCACCTGGACGAGGTGGGTGAGGCCCTGGGGGGTCCCCCTGAGCACCCCCAGCACTTGGGGTTCACCTGGGCCCTGGTGTGTGCCCCCCCCTCACGGTGGCCATGGGGTCAGGCAGGTTGCCAAATTCCTGGGTTTTGGGGAAAAAGAAAGTGCAGCAGAATTAGGAATGAGGACCTGGGAGGGGTGAGGGGGGGTGGGCATCTGGGGGAGGAGGGTCTGAAGGGACCCCAAGAGTTAAAATTGAGGATAATGGAATATCCTGAGTGGGAAGGACCCCCAGGAGTCACTAGCCCGGTGCCCCTACAGAGAAAGGGGTCACGTTGGAGAAATTGCCACAATTCCTCTGGATTTCGGAGGTGCAGCAGCATGAGAATTAGTAGTGGGGGGGGGAGGAACTTGGGGGAAGTCTCAGGGACCCCCCCAAGTGTTATAAAAATTTGGAATAACCGTGAAATCATTGGAATATCCCGAGTGGGAGGACCCGATCTCAGCTCTGCCTGGGACGCCAGGGACACCCCGAGGCCTCGTGGGGTGGAGGGCAGGGTCCTCCCAACACCGTGTCCCCAGGGGGTCTCGGGGGCCCCTGCCGGATGATGGATGTGCTGCCTCCCCACCCTCACCTGTCTGACCACACCCTGGTCCTGCTGCACACCGAGGTGCACCTGGGACGAGGTGGGTGAGGCCCTGGGGGTCCCCTGAGCACCCCCAGCACTTGGGGTTCACCTGGGCCCTGGTGTGTGCCCCCCCTCACGGTGGCCATGGGAGTCTAGGCAGGTTGCCAGAATTCCCTGGGTTTTGGGAAAAAAAAAGTACTGCAGAATTAAGGAAATGAGGTCCTGGAGGAGTGGATAGGGGGGAGTATCTGGGGGAGGAGGGTCTGAGGGACCCTCAAGAGTTAAAATTGAGGATAGTGGAATATCCCGAGTGGGAAGGACCCTCGGGATCTCAGCCCTGCCTGGGACGCCCCAGGGACACCCCGAGGCTCGTGGGGGTGGAGGGGGAGGGTCCTCCCCAAACCCCGGGGTTCAGCGGGGTCCTGGGGGTGTCTGACCGGGATGGGGTCGTTGCAGGGGGACCTGGAGAGCTCCCGGTGGCTGCTGGTGCTGACCGTGCTCCTCTGCAGCTCTCTCATCCACACCAGCCTCGGGAACATCGCCCAGCAGGACATGGAGCGGCTGAGGTACCTGGGGGGCTCCAGGGCCCCCCCCTCGGCTTGGGAAGGGGGGACAGGAAAATGAAGATCTCCTCTTGGACTGGGGTGGGACAGGAAAATGGGGATCTCCTCTTGGCCTGGGGTGGGACAGGAGCGTGGGGACCTCCCTTGATTTGGGGTGGGGAGATGGGGAACTCCAATGGCGCCCCCGGACACGTTTTGGCTCCTCGGGAGTTCCCCCCATGGTGACCCCCAGGGCTGGGGGTCTCCCCCTCCGAGCAGGTCTGGGGGGTCCCTCACGCTGCGGTTCCTCACCTGGCCCAGGTGGCTGTCGGAGCTGCCCCAGCTCATCACGTGCAGAGCGAGCCCCGAGCGCGGCGCCCTCAGCGATTCCCACAGATTCGCCCTTTTCTTCCCCGATTTCGTCTGGGCCGTCCTGGATTGCACCCGGGAGCCCCAGGACGAGGACGGGCAGGAAATCTCCGAGGACGAGTACCTGGAGCGGGCACTGAGGCTGCGGCCAGGTGAGGGGCCGGGGGGGCCGGGGGGGGGCCAAGTGAGGACACAGGTGAGGACACAGGTGAGGACACAGGTGAGGATGCAGGTGAGGGGGCAGGTGAAGGTCCAGGTGAGGACACAGGTGAGGACTCAGGTGAGGACACAGGTGAGGAGGCAGGTGAGGACACAGGTGAGGAGGCAGGTGAAGGTCCAGGTGAGGACACAGGTGAGGACACAGGTGAGGACACAGGTGAGGGATGTCCAGGTGAGGACACAGGTAAGGACACAGGTGAGGGTCCAGATGAGGACACAGGTGAGGACACAGGTGAGGGGGCAGGTGGGGGGCCAGGAGGGGGGCCAAGTGAGGAGACAGGTGAGGACACAGGTGAGGGATGTCCAGGTGAGGATGCAGGTGAGGACACAGGTGAGGACACAGGTGAGGGGCCGGGGGGGCCAGGCGAGGATACAGGTGAGGAGACAGGTGAGGAGACAGGTAAGGACACAGGTGAGGGGGCAGGTGGGGGGCCAGGAGGGGGGCCAAGTGAGGACACAGGTGAGGACACAGGTGAGGGATGTCCAGGTGAGGACACAGGTGAGGGAGGTCCAGGTGAGGACACAGGTGAGGACACAGGTGAGGACACAGGTGAGGGATGTCCAGGTGAGGACACAGGTGAGGACACAGGTGAGGACACAGATGGATGTCCAGGTGAGGACACAGGTGAGGGATGTCCAGGTGTGACCCCACCCCAGGTGACGCCCCGTGGTCTCTCCCCCCACCCCGCAGGTAGCGACGCCCGGGCCCAGCGGCACAACCTGCCCCGGGAGTGCATCCGGCAGTTCTTCCCGGAGCGCCGGTGCTTCCTGTTCCAGAGGCACCCGGAGGAGACCCTGGCCGGGCTCCAGCAGCAGAAGTTCCTCAGGTTCCTCCAGGAGGAGGCGCAGCCGAAAACTTTGCCCGGGGGCCTCGTCGTCACCGGGGAACGTGAGTGCTGGGCCCAGGGACTGTTAGATTTGGGATCGCGGAATAATCAGATTGTTGAGGTGGGAAAAGACCTCTGGGATCGTCGAGTTCAGCCACTTGAGGATTCTTGTGGCCCCCTCCCCTCCCCCCATCCCAGGAGATTCCATAATTCCATGATCCCGTGATTCTATGGCTCAGCGATCCTGGTGGGTTCCTCCCACTAGGGGGTGTTCCATGATTCCCTCATTCCATCATTCCTTCATTGCACGATTCCGTGACTCCATTACCTTTGGGTGTCCCTTCCAGCTCAGAATATTCCATGATCCCATCATTCCATCATTCCATGATCCTGCGGGCTCTCTCCAGCTCAGGAGAGTCCTTGCCTCCATGATCCCATCATTCCATCATTTCATGATCCTGCGGGCTCTCTCCAGCTCAGGAGAGTCCTTGCCTCCATGATCCCATCATTCCATCATTCCATGATCCTGCAGGCTCTCTCCAGCTCAGGAGAGTCCTTGCCTCCATGATCCCAGAATTCTGTGACTCAGCTATCCTGGTGTCCGTCCCAGCTGGGGATATTCTGTGTTTCCACGATCTCATGATTCTATAATCCCTCCCAGCCCAGGAGACTCCATGATTCCATGACTCCATGATCCTTGGGTCCCCTAATACCATGGATATTCCATGACTCTGAAATTCCATGACCCTCCCAACCCAGGGGATTCCACGATCTCGCCATCCTTTGACTCGGCGGCTCCTGCGGGTCCCTCCCGGCCCAGGAGACTCCGTGATTCCATGATCCTTGGGTCTAGACATTCCATGACTCCAAGATTCCATGATTCTTGGGTCCCTCCCTACTATAGACATTCCATGGCCCTCCCCACCCAGGGGATTCCGTGATCTCGCCGTGCTGTGACTCGACGGTTCCCATCGGTCCCTCCTGGCCCAGGAGACTCCATGATTCCATGACTCCATGATCCTTGGGTCCCTCCCTACCATGGATATTCCATGACTCCAAGATTCCATGACTCCATGATCCTTGGGTCCCTCCCTACCGTAGACATTCCATGACTCCATGATCCTTGGGTCCCTCCCTACCGTAGACATTCCATGACTCCATGATCCTTGGGTCCCCTCCTACCATGGATATTCCATGACTCCAAGATTCCATGACTCCATGATCCTTGGGTCCCTCCCTACCGTAGACATTCCATGACTCCGAGATTCCATGGCCCTCCCACCCCAGGGGGTTCCACGATCTCACCATCCCGTGACTCGGCGGGTCCCTCCCAGCCCAGGAGATCCCACCATTCCACGACTGACCCCACGACCCCCAGGGCTCGGTGACCCCCTGTGGGGGCCCCTCCCTACCCCCCCCCCCCAAATCCTCTCTGTCTCTCGGCAGTGCTGGGGAGGCTGGCAGAGATCTACGTGGGGCAGATCCGGGCGGGAGCGGTGCCGTGCCTGCAGCGCGCGCTCCAGGACGTGGCCCCGGCGGCCAACGCGGCGGCGGCGGCGGCGGCCGCGCGGCTGTACCGGGAGCGGACGGAGCGCCTGGAGCTGCCGCTGGACTCGGTGACGGAGCTGCTGCGGCTCCACGGGCGCTGCGAGCGAGAGGCTCTGGAGCTGTTCATGGAGCGGGCTTTCCCGGATGGAATCTGCAACGGCCAGGCCGAGTTCATGGTAGGTGGATCCCACGCTGGCCTGTGGGTCCCATTTCTTGCGCTGATCTGGGAATTCCCAGTTCCCACCTTGACTCGGGATGTCAATTAATTCCCACATCGACCTGGAGGCCCCAGTTCATGTGTCAGTCCTGGGATCCTACTTCCCACGCTGACCCAGGGGTAGCAATTAATCCCCACATCGACCTGGAGGCCCCAGTTCATGTGTCAATCCTGGGATCCCGCTTCCCACGCTGACCCAGGGATGTCAATTAGTTCCCACATCGACCTGGAGGCCCCAGTTCATGTGTCAATCCTGGGATCCTACTTCCCACGCTGACCCAGGGATGTCAATTAATTCCCACATCGACCTGGAGACCCCAGTTCATGTGCCAGTCTTGGGATCCCACTTCCCCTGCTGACCCAGGCATGGCAATTCCCATGGTGTCCTGGAGGCCCCAATTCATGTGTCAATCCTGGGATCCTACTTCCCACGCTGACCCAGGGATGTCAATTAATTCCCACATCGACCTGGAGACCCCAATTCATGTGTCAATCCTGGGATCCCTCTTCCCACGCTGACCCAGGGATAGTCAATTAGTTCCCACATCGACCTGGAGACCCCAATTCATGTTCATGTATCAATCCTGGGATCCCACTTCCCATGCTGACCCAGGCATGGCAATTCCCATGGTGCCCCGGAGACCCCAATTCCCATGACAACCTTGGAATCTCAATCTCCCTGTCAGCCCCGGGGGATCCCAGTTCCCACCTCAGCCTGGAGGTCTCAGTCCCCCCACATTGACCCGGAGACTCCGACGTCCCCTGGGATCCCAATTCCCACGTCCACGACTCCACGACTCCCTAATCTCCACAGCGCCAGATGGAGGCCCTGAAGGACAAGTTCTTCTCGGACAACGAGCGCCTGTCCCGCGCCAGGTGCGAGAAGGCACTCCAGAACCTGTCCCAGGACATGGGCACACGGAGCCGGGACAGATCCCGCGGCATTCCCGGGGGTTACCTGCAGGCGCTGGTGGAGGAATACTGGAAGCTGCCCGGCAAGGGGTTGAAGGTGGGGATGGCTCCCAGCAAGGCAGCAGCTCTGTGATCCATCTCATCGCCCCAACACCCCCCCCAGGCGCTGTCCCCCCACCCTGAGCCCCTCCCTGCATTCCCACAGGCAACTGCCGTGCTGCAGGAATTCCTCAGGAGCAGGAGCATCCCGAGCACGGAGCGTTCCATCAGGACGTGGAGTAACGTTGGGGCTGGGGTGGGCGGTGGATGGGATGGGGTTGTCCAGGTGTGATTTTGGGATGCTCCTGCCACATCCCTGTGCTCCCCAGGGGATCAGTACCTGCAGGAGCTGGGGTGGGGTGGGGTGGGGGGTGTCCAGGTGTGATCCCAGGAGGCTCCTGCCACATCCCTGTGCTCCCCAGGGGATCAGTACCTGCAGGAGCTGGGGTGGGGTGGGATGGGTTGTGTCCAGGTGTGATTTTGGGATGCTCCTGCCACATCCCTGCTCCCAGGGATCAGTACTGCAGGGCAGGGTGGGGTGTCAGGTGTGATCCCAGGATGCTCCTGCCACATCCCTGTGCTCCCCAGGGGAGCAGTACCTGCGGGAACTGGGGTGGGGTGGGATGGGTTGTGTCCAGGTGTGATTTTGGGATGCTCCTGCCACATCCCTGTGCTCCCCAGGGGATCAGTACCTGCAGGAGCTGGGGTGGGGGGTGTCCAGGTGTGATTTTGGGATGCTCCTGCCACATCCCTGTGCTCCCCAGGGGAGCAGTACCTGCGGGAGCTGGAGCAGAGGATGCGCGCGGAGAAGGAGGACGAGCAGCGGCAGCGGCAGCAGGAGCAGCTCCGGAGGCGCTCGGAGCACCAGCGGCAGCTCAAAGAGAAGCTCGAGGACTTTGCGGGGAGGCGGCTCCAGGAGCATCGGCGCCTGATGGCGCTCAAATCCCAGGTACGGAGCACGCGGAGCACGCGGAGCCCTCGCACAGGGGCCGAGGCGTGGGCTGGGGCATCCCGGCTCTGCATCCCCCAGATCCACAACCCCTGGATCCACATCCCCCTGCCCTGCATCCCCCAGATCCACATCCCCCAGCTCCACATCCCCTGGATCCACATCCCCTGGATCCACATCCCCCTGCCCTGCATCCCCCAGATCCACATCCCCTGGATCCACACCCCCCTGGATCCACATCCCCCTGGATCCACATTCCCCAGATCCACATCCCCTGGATCCACATCCTCCCTGATCCCATCAGATCACATCTCCAGCTCCACATCCCCTGATCCCACATCCATCCCTAGATCCACATCCCCTGGATCCACATCCCCCAGATCCGCATCCCCCTGGATCCACATCCCCTGGATCTGCATCCCCCTGGATCCACATCCCCCTGGATCCACATTCCCCAGATCCACATCCCCTGGATCCACATCCCCCTGCCCTGCATCCCATCAGATCCACATCCCCAGATCCACATCCCCTGGCTCCACATCCCCTGGATCCACATCCCCCAGATCCACATCCCCCTGCCCTGCATCCCATCAGATCCACATTCCCTGGATCCACATTGCCTGGATCCACACCCCCTGGATCCACATCCCCCTTCTCCACGTCCCCTTTCTCCATGTCCCCCTTCTCTACATCCCCCAGCTCCACATCCCCCTTCTCCACCCCCTAGCCCTGTGTCCCCCAGCCCTGTGTCCCCCCCATGTCCCCAGCCCTGTGTCCCCCCAGCCCTGTGTCCCCCTGTCCCCCAGCCCTGTGTCCCGCCCTGTGTCCCCCCATGTCCCCCAGCCCTGTGTTCCCCCAGCCCTGTGTCCCCCGTGTCCCCCAGCCCTGTGTCCCCCCGTGTCCCCCCCAGCCCTGTGTCCCTCCCCATGTGCCCCCAGCCCTGTGTCCCCCGTGTCCCCCCCAGCCCTGTGTCCCCCCGTGTCCCCTCGTCTGCCCTCTCTGTCACCCCACCCAGGAGGAGAAGTCGCTGCGCCAGGACGGCTTCCAGGAGCAAGCGGACAAGCTCTTCTCCGTGATCATGGAGCTGGACTGGGAATATCACGGCCGTGGCAGGAACAGAGGCAGCAGGAAGGGCGGGAATGCCGGCTGGAACGGCAGGAATGCCGGCTGGAACGGCGGGGATGGCGGCTGGAACGGCGGGGACGGCGGCTGGAACGGCGGGGATGGCGGCCTGAACGGCACCGGCAACAGCAACTCCAACGCGTGGATCCCCGTCCTCGTGGGCATCGTGGCGATTCTGGCACTGATCCTCCTTCGCATTTAGGGACCCCCAGGAATTCGGTACAACCCTCCCTGGGGGCAGGGACACCTCTCCTCTGCCCCCGGGGGGGGTTTCCAAGTCCTGTCCCACCCGGCCTGGAGCTTTTCCAGGGATGGCTTCACGTGAAAAGCGGAGTTTGCCTCGAGCTCTTTGTGTTGGATTTCTGTGCCAGCGCCCCAGGAGAGCCGAGCCCCTTTGCCCAAATCCATCAGCCCCATCCCGTGGCACAGACTGGTGTAAGATCCTCTCCCTTCCCTTTCAGAGGCAGTCACACATTCCTTCTGGAATCCCAAACCTGGGAATTACTGCTTTTCACAAAACCTGAACCACTGCTCTCCTCTGGTTGGTGTGGCTGGGAAAGCCCTGGCCAACCCGAAAATAGGAATATTTGTATTTATTCCGTCTCATAATTCCGTAGAATCCATCTGCCAAAGTTCCTGGGGGTTATTCCTTGCTTTACACGCCCTCCCTGTAACTTTTTTCCCCCTGTTTTTTGACGATTTGCACAGCAAATTCCACATTTCCCACAAAACTTTGCATCTCATTTTTAACTTTGCTTTCCTTTGCTTTCAGGAAAAAAAAAAATTTTCCAGGGAATGAGTCATCCCTCTGTGTGTGGGATGATGGATAGGATTAAAAATTAGTGGAGACTGAGGATTACTGGGTAAAAATGCAGGTGCTGCTCCCTGGATGGAGCGTGGTCGGCGTGGCCCACTCGGTTCCCTGCACGTTGATTTGCTCCTGGAACGGGGAGTGGAGCAGAGCGGAAACACCACGGCCTCACTCCTTAAAAAAATCCGCTGGGAAGGGGACGTGGAGGCACCTTGGAGTTCATCAGACCCGACAACACCTGTCAGCCGAGAGAAAGAGGTGAAAATGTTCCGTAGCTGAGCCAGCCCTGCCGAAATCCCCCCTCCTCTGGCACCCCCCGGCTTGGGATGCGAAGCCAAGCGGGAGAGTTTTACATCAATCAGAGGGAAAAGCCACTCGAGCTCCACCCAAACCCAAAGAGAAGGTGTAAAAGCAAGCTGGGAAAAGGGGGGAAAAATCAAGGAAGGCTCCACCAGAACTGCTGGGATCAGCTCAGCTGGCAGGCTGAACCTGCCTTGCCCCCTCTACAGGGACACCTCCGGGGTAAGGATCATATTCTACTCACCTGAAATGCTGTCACTAGGACTAGAGCTTGTGTTTGTTTGTTCTACAGCGTGGCCACAGATTGCTTTAAACACATTTTTGGGGTCAGAGGCTGTCACTGATGGCCCTGGCCCCCTTGATTAACCTGTCACAGTTTTTATCAATAAACAGTGTTATTCCATAAGCTTTGGGAGCGAGTCCTTTCCAGGTGCTGGCAGTGGATAGAACACGTTGGGAAGAGCCCCTGAGGGGTCTCCACGCTGTTGGCTCAGACCCCGGAAAGGGCAGTGGAATCACCCCCCGATCTGGTGGGTCTGCCCGGTGAAGGGTCCCCTCATGGTCGGGCAGGAGGGGCTCGGCTTCCCCGGGGCACCAACAGACAAATAAATCACTAAAGGGTCGAGAAAACGCCCCCCCTCGTTAAGGGTCAGGCAATCCCTCCCCCCGCTCTGCCACCAGGACTCTCATTATCCCCCTTTCCCACCCATCCACGTCCCGCCCAGCCCCGGCCGGGGATGGACTCACCGCCCTCCCCACAGCCGGTAATTCCCACCTGCCACGTCCAGCTCCAGGTTTTTCCCTGTTTTTTCCCTTTCCTGGAATGGGAGGGAAAGGGGCCGGGCCAGGGACAGAACCAAGGCAAGGCAGGACTCGCCGGCAGTGGCAGAGATGCGACAACCGGGACAGGGGTGAGGAGAACCAGGACTCGCCCCCCCCTCCCCCCTTTGCTCCCCGTAGTCCCCTTCCTGCCCTTACGCCCCCCTGGGATGGATGGGATGGATGGGATGGATGGGATGGGTTCCGGTGATCCTGGCGAGGGCCCAGGACAAGAGGAAGGGGCTCCCTGTCAAGAGAAATTCCCCTTTGCTTTCCCCCCTCGAGGAATCCTAAAGGATTGGGGCCGATTTGGGCTGAGGTTGGACGGGGCTCGGAGCCTCCTGGGCTGGGGGAAGGTGTCCCTGCCCGTGGCAGGGGGCTCTGGGGGAGGCTGGGAGGTCCCTTCCCACCCAACCTCCTCTCCCAGGGACACCCTCAGTGCTGCCCTCGCGGGGTCCCCCCTGTCCTTCCCTCCCCCTGGGCCTTGGGGTGACCCCTTCTCCCCTCCCCACCCCCAGAGCTCAGACCTGCCCCGTCCTCGAGTGTCACCCGACGGTGACAGTGACAGCGGGGGTGGCTTCACCCACTGCTGACCTGTCCCCCTCGCGTCCCCCCAGCCTCACCGGGACCCCAAACCCCCTGTCCGGTCCCTGCCCGGGGTCTCCGTCACTCACCAGGGTCGTTGTCCACGACGGGCGTATCCAGGAGCCTCCCATCCCTCATCCCGTGCCCCGGTGAGGGGTTTCGGGGGGTTTCAGAGGGCTCGCCAGGATGCTGCGGGTGTTCCCCATCCCTGTCCCGGCTGTCGCAGCTCTGTCGCCGCCGGGGGGGGTGTCGTGCCTGTCCCCTGGTCCAGCCCCTTCCCCCGCCCGTTCCGGGAAAAGGAGCTCGGGCTGGGACAAGAGCCGATCTCGGGGCTGCACGTTCTGATGAGCGGCGGGGCTGGCGTGGCTGGGGCCGCGCTGAGCTGGGGAAAAGTTGGTTAATGCCTCAATTTTTATATAAGCCAGACTGTCCCGTGCTCCCACCAGGAAGAGACACTTCGAGTAAATTGGAAGCACAAATAACTTTTGAGGAGGGGAAAATTAAAAGTTCATATTCCTGAAACCGAGGCTCTGGAATAACAAACAGCAGTGACTGGGTACAAATCGATCCCACCCTGAAAGCTGGGACCGATTCGGAAACAATTCGGGTCCAAGTTGGAGTCCCCCGTGAAACACAAAAGGACGACACTTCCCGGGGATTCCAGGGGCTGTTGGAGAAGATCCTCTGGGTTTCCAGACCTCTCCCAGCGGGTCAGAGGAGTTCCAGTGACCGTGATGAGGGGACTTTGTGTGTGAACTGATGGGAACTGCTGGACTGATGTCAGCAACTCAAAACATCTTTGATCAAGAAGGCCACACGTCGTGACCTGTTACCACTTCAAACCACTGTATAAGCTTCTGCCTCTCCGATAAAGAATCTCCTGTTGACCACCACGCTGGTGTCTCTCTGGCCCATTAATAACGTTGCTACAGCTCAACAAACCTAAATGAGATCAGCTCTGATTTAGCACCTCTTTATGTGCGTGCACAGTCTCGCCCCCCCTTTTTTGTTTTCAGAGGGATGTTTGGTGTGTAAAACGCTCTTCTGACAATAACCTGTTCCATGAGCGAGTTAGTTTTGGTCAGAACACCAAAAGCTAATGAAGGCAAAGAGGCAACATTGGTGAGTGATGCCTGCACGTCTGCATCTTGTAGAGATTTGAGGTTTTTACGCAGCACAACACAAGAAATGTCATTCGAGCTAAAAGAACACAAGAAAGCAACGCCCGTTTTACTTTCAATTTCTAACTGAAATGCACTTAATTTGTTTCATATTTTAGGTTTCACTGCTCTGACTGTTACCTGCTGTTGATGCTGTTTCGTTTTGGGGTTTTAACTTCCAGTCAAGTCACAGTTAGTAAGACAGTGTTACATCCAGACCACTCAAAGGAGATGACCAAGGAACATCACCAGAAATTACACATTCTGTGCTACCCCACACCACTCCATCTTGGTTTTACTCTCATTTTTCCCGTGGGAAAACGGGAGTATTTTCACTTATTTTCTACAAGTGTTTCAGCCCCTCTGCTGGAGATGACGCAGTCCTGACCGCTCAGGTCCAGCCAAGCCAAAACCCCTCATCATTTGGCTGAACAGATTTTCTCAGTGAGGTCACTGCAAGGGAGACACAAATGGGATGCCAGGAAAGAGTGGGAAAGGGAAAGAGAGGAGGTGGAAGTTGCAATCACAGCATTACAGTAACTCAGACGAGTATCAAATTAGCAGATCCCCTGAATTACTCTTAATTGGTTTTTTTGAGTAAAGGGATATATAGGAGGGTAAAAAGGAAAAAAAAAAACCACAACAATTTAAATCCCTGAAATTAATTGCAGTGAATTTAAGAACAGTTTGAATAATAAAAATCTCCAGGATTTCTCAAACATCAGTGTATCGAGTAAAAATGTGAGTTCTTGTCCTTCTACACCCATGGCTGGTCTCTGTAGGCTCAAACAAAAAGTAAAAGAGCCAAAGCTTCTGTTTGTAGCTGGACATTAATGTATCACATCCTTCAGTATAAACCAAAGTTAATAAGGGATAGTTATTCTAGTGACAATTTCTGAAACTGCAATGCTCAAGTCGCTATTTCTATGTAAAAATAGTACAAAAGTTTTATTTCTCTTTGAAATAGGTGGGACATGTTTGCAGCTCACTGAAATTTAGTCTTTAAGGCACTAACATCTGTTTTCTCATTAGAAGAATTACCTGTATCTCCACTTTTGACATTAATTGGAAAGGGCACAGGAATTCTACCTAGAAAAAATTAAGGTTGTGTCATTCTATTGGCACGTCATCTAATTTTACATTTCTGCCCCTGCTTTAGCAACACGCTGCAAGAGCTGCAAACTGGTACAAAAGGTATTTGTTTTCTCCAATTTAGCTACCCATAATTCACACCTCGGCAGAGCTGACAGGATATTGCACCAGATATGGAGTGAATCAGCCTGCACAATCTGCTGTCGTGGGATTGTCGGCTTAACAGGGTTATTTCTGAATAAAAATCTCTGAACGTCTGCATTAGGCACACCAAGAGAAGTTTCACAAAAGAAAACAAAACAGCCACTGTTACAGTTTGCTAGCACAGCCTGAAATTCGGTGTTTTCTGTGAGGGGTTAGTCCACGTTGGCTCCGATGTTTGGGGTGTGGTTAATTCTCGCCTCTTGTTTGCCCCCTTCTTGCAGTCGTTCTGTATTTTAAATAAAAACCTTGTAAATTTGTTATTAACAGTTCAGTTTTAAGTGGCTATGGTGGGTAATTTTGCAGCTTTTCTCGAAGCTGAAGGCTTAGAGATGGTTCTTTTGCAGTGCAAAAAGCTGACGGTGATGATTCCTTTGCAGTGCAATCAGAGAGTAGGTTCCACGGTTTGCTCTTTGGAATTTTTTCCTGGAGCGTTTTTCCAATCCTGTTTTTCAAATAGCACGGGTTAAACCAATCATATTTGGTTTTAACTCGGTCTCTCAGGCAGCTGTGATTTACAAACAGCTAATTCTACCTTTCTGCTGACATCATACACCTTCCTGGGACAACATAACACCTCGAGAATATTTGCACGAGTTAATAAAGAACAGGAACGCTTGAAAAACCAAATTTATCAGAGGGGGTTCAGGACAGAGCTCCAGGCTATGCTTTTTTTTTTTTTTTGTGTTATTTAAAAGTTTTTGATTTCCTTTACCTCGGGTACTGAGCAAGAGTTTGAACTTGAGAGGTTTGAACTCTCCTGGTTAGCGGGCAACTCTTTGTACCGTCTCTTAGATTTTATCTCTCTCCCCACAAGCGCGGAATTTGCAGCTCGAAAAGACTTTTTTTGCCTCGCACCGCCTTCCCTCGGCTCTCGCTGCCTCCGCCCCTCACCACATTTTTGGGGAGTCCTGGAGGGCAAATGGGGGGGGCCGAGGGGTAAATTTGGGGCCCAGAGAGCACTTTGGGGGTCCTAAAGGGCCCTTTGGGGGTCAGGAGGGCAGATTTTGGGGGGCCGTGAGGGGTAAATTGGGGGTCCTGGGGGGGCACTTCGGGGGGCTCACGGGCACATTTAGGGGGGTCCTGGAGTGCCATTTGGGGGTCTGGAGATCACTTTTTGGGTGGCCAGGAGTTAAACTGGGGGTCCTGGGAGGATCTTTTGGGGGGTCTGAAGTTCACTTTTTGGGGGGGAGGGAGCAGGATTTAATCTGGGTGTCCTGGGGTGCCATTTGGGGAGTCTGGAGGTCACTTTTTTTGGGGGAGGGCAGGAGTTAAACTGGGCATCCTGGGAGGATCTTTTGGGGAATCTGAAGGTCCCTTTTTGGGGGGGGGGGGCAGGGGTTAAACTGGGCGTCTTGGGAGGATCTTTGGGGGTTTCCAGACCTTATTTGGATCTGGGGGGTGGGGGAGAATTAGGGGCCCCTTTGAGGGCAAATTGGGGGTTAATGAGAGTGACTTCACCCCGCGCATGCGCAGCGCCAGAAAAAGCAACAAAACTACCCGATCCGCCATTTTGAGTGAGGGCAGCCCACAACGGGGCGTGGCCTCGTTATGAGGCGGGAAACGCTTCCTCCAATAGCAGAGCGTCTCACGGCGGGGGGGCGGGGTTATGGCTCTGGCGCGTGCGCACAAAGGGAGACGGCGCGACCCGCCATGGTTAGTGAGGGCAGAGTGTGGGAGTGACGTCACCGGGCAAAGCGCGCCCCCCCCCACACCCCCTCAGGAGCCGCCGCCATTTTGGATCCGCCGCCGCTCCCTGAGGTAGCTCTGGGGGTCACCCCATTCCCCCCCGGCTTGGGTGGGTCCAAAGAGGCCCCCAGAACCCGCAAACACATCCAGAGGCCCCCGAGATTTTGGGGGGCGTGAAGAGCCCCACATCCCCCCGGGCCCTCCTCGCCCCAATTTTGAGGGGGGGGTCTCTGGTACCCCCAGAGCTCCCCAAACCCCCTCAAAACCCTCCCAAAAGCTCCTCCCCCGACCTCACAAAGCCCACCCAGAGACCACCAGGACCCCTCCTACCCTAATTTTGAGAGGTCTACGGTACCCCAAAACTCCTCTTAACACTCCCCAAATCCCCCCAAACCCACCCAAGACTCTCCAAGCCATCCAGAGGCCTCCCTCTCCCCCCGCGCTTTCGGTGGGCCTGAAAATCCCCCCTAGTCTCCCTTTCACCTGAATTTTGGGGTGTCCTCTATACCCCAGACCTTCCCAGCACCCCTCAAACGTCTCTAAACCCCAGAAATACCACCAGTCTGGGGGAGGGTGGGGTCTCTGCAGGGTCCTTGACGGGAGACCCCTTAAAACACCCCAGATTCCCTCCTTTATCCCCCTACTCCCCCAACTCCCCTTTAGCCCCCCCAAATTCCCCTTAACCCCCCCTCAATCCCCACCCACGTCCCCCTAAATCCCCCTTTTTGCCCCCCAGGTGATGTCAGACCCCCTCAGACCGGCCCCATTTTGGGGCGTCTCTTCGAGCCCCCATTAAAACCCTCCCAAACCCTCTCCAAGACCCTCCCAAATCCCCCAAAACCCCCTCCTAACCCCCTCTGCCCCCTTACAGGCAATGTCTGACCCTCCAGCCCACCCCTAATTTGGGGGGTCTCCGAGGCCCTGGAGGCCGCCCTGATCCGAGACCCCACTGAGCCCTCGCCCCCGAGTTGGCCCCAACTTTGAGGGTCCCGCTGCCCCCAAAAGTGTCAGGTCCTGGATGGAGCCAAACTCTGAGGACAACCTGGAACTGGTAAAAAGGGGAACCCCAGAATTTGGGAGGGAACCCGAAATGGGGGTGGGAGGGGAGGTTGGGGGGATTTAAGAGGGTTTTAGGGGTTTAGACTGGCTTGGCGTGGTTTTAGGGGGGTTTGGGGACCCCTATCCCCAAATTAGGGTTTGGGGGTGAATTAGAGGGTCATTCTGGGGGATTTAATGGGGATTTGGGGGGAGGGTTGAAGTGATCCCCCAAACACATCAGGGGATTCCCTGACCCCCTAAAATTGGGGTGGGGAGAAGTTGGGGTTGATGGGGGTTGGGTGATTTGGGGGGGGGGATTTGGGTGAAGTTAAAGGGAATTTTGGGATGTCCCAGGTTTTGGGGGACTCCCCTGACTGCTCTATCAGCCTCCAAAATTTGGGGGGCACCAGAATAGGGAGTTTATGGGGGGACTTTGGGGTGATTTGGGTTGATTTTGGAGTAATTTTGGGTGATTTTGTGGGGATTTGGGGTGATTTTGGGGGGTGATTTTGTGGAGGTTTGTTGGGGTTTTTGGGTGTCCCAGGTTTTGAGGGAAACCCCACGCCCCCCATCACCCCTAAAATTAGGGTGGGCCCTAAAATCGGGGTTTTGAGGTGATTTGGGGTGAATTTGAGGGGGATTTTTGGGAATTCTGGTGTGGGGGTCTGGGGGTGTCTCAGGTTTTGGGGGGGCCCCTGATCCTTTATCCCCCTCCAAATTGGGGCTTGGGGGTCATTTGGGGTGAGTTTGGGGTGTTTATTGTGTGATTTTGGGGCTCCCCAAATTTCGGGGGGTGCCTTTGCCACTCCCTTTCACCCCCAGGATTCGGTGGGGGGGGGTCAGAACAATTTTGGGGTGACTTTGGGGTCATTTCGTGTGGGTTTAGGTGATTCTGGAGTGATTTCTGGGGTTATTTTGGGGGATTTGGGGGCTCCCCAGATTTCAGGGAGCCCTCTGACCCCCTCCTTTGCCCCCCCAGGATTTTGGGGGGCCCCCTCGGGGTCTCGGGGGGCTCCGGACAGCCCTGAGCATCCTGGAAAAATATGGGAGGAACCTCCTGCACCCCCGACCCCCCCGGCACTGGAGGGGGGTGAGATTTGGGAACCCCGTGTTCAAATCCACCGTGGGAGCCATCCAGGTACATCCCATAATACACCTGAGAGCCCAGAACAACCTGGGGCACCCCAAAATATACGTGGGATCCCCCCCCCTCCCCATCCCAAAACACACCTGGGAACCCCAAATATACCTGGGAATCCCCAAATGAAGCTGGAGGCACCAAAATACACCCTGAGAATTCCCAAAAGCCACCTTGGACCCCGCTAGAACATCCCTGGGGACCCCAAAATATATGTGGAACCCCCCTAGAGACACTTGGAACCCCCCAAAACACACCTGGGACCCCCCAAAACTCACTTGGGACCCACCCAAAACTCACTTGGGACCCACCAAAACTCACTTGGGACCCCCCCAAACTCACTTGGGACCCACCAAAACACACCTGGGACCCCCCAAAACTCACTTGGGACCCACCAAAACACACCTGGGACCCCCCAAAACTCACTTGGGACCCCCCAAAGCTCACTTGGGACCCCCCAAAACATACCTGGGACCCCCCAAAACTCCCTTGGGACCCCCCAAGACTCCCTTGGGACCCCCCAAAACTCACTTGGGATCCCCCAAAACTCACTTGGGACCCCCCCAAAGACATACCTGAGACTCCCAAAATATACCTGGGACCCCCCCAAAATACATCTGGGATCCCCAAATATACCTGGGGACTCCCCAAAACATACCTGGACTCCCCAAATCCTCTCCCTTCCCCCCAAAATTCCACTGACCCCAAAATCCACAGACCCCCGTCAACGCTCCCCAAATCTCTGACCCCCCAAATTTCATTCTGACCCCCAAATCCTCTCCCTTTCCCCCAAATCCTCCCCCAAACCCCTTTTCCCCCAATTCCCTCCAACTTCCCCTTCTCCCCCTCAGATCCCCCAATTCCCCCCAACCCCACTGTTTTCTCCCCAACCCCTTTAACCCTCCCCATCCAGAACCCTCCCCAAAACCCTTCAGTCCCCCAGACCTCCTCAGGGACCCCCAACCCCTCAATCCACCCCAAACTCCCCTGTATCCCCTAACCTACCAAACCCTCCCAAACCCCTTTGTTCCCCCAACAACCCCCAGGACCTCCCAAATCCTCCCCCACCCTCCCAGCCCTTCCAAACCCTTTGTTCCCCCAACCCCTCCAGGCCCCCAAATCACCCCCAAACCCTTTTGTTCCCCCAACAGCCCCCAGGACTCCAAATACCCCTGACCTACCAATCCCCCAAACCCTCTCCTTTATCCCCCAACCCCTCCAGGCCCCCAAATCACCCCAAACCCCTTTTGTTCCCCCCAACACCCCCAGGACTCCCAAATACCCTGACCTACCAACCCCCCCAACCCTCCCTTTATCCTCCCTCCAGGCTCCCCAAATCCCCCAAACCCTCTCAGCACCCCCCAAATCTCTCTCTGGACCCCCAAGCCCCCAGGACTCCCAAATACCCCAACCTACCAATCCCCCCAACCCTCTCCTTTATCCCCCTGTCCCCTCCAGACCCCCAAATCACCCCAAACCCCTTTTTTTCCCCCAACACCCCCAGGACTCCAAAATACCCCCGACCTACCAACCCCCTCAACCCTCTCCTCCTTTATCCCCCTCCAGGACCCCCAAATCCCTCCCAGCACCCCTCAAACCCTCTCTCTGGACCCCAACCCCCAGGACTCCCAAATACCCCCAACCTACCAACCCCCAATCCTCTCCTTTATCCCCCTCCAGGACCTCCCAAATCACCCCCAAACCCCCTTTTTTTCCCCCAACACCCCCAGGACTCCCAAATACCCTGACCTACCAACCCCCTCAACCCTCTTCTTTATCCCCTCCAGGACCCCCAAATCACCCCCAAACCCCCTTTGTTCTCCCCAACAGCCCCCAGGACTCCCAAATACCCCCGACCTGCCAACTCCCCTCAACCCTCTCCTTTATCCCCCTCCAGGCCCCCCAAAATCCCCCAAACCCCTCTCAGCACCCCCAAATCCTCTCTCTGGACCCCAAGCCCCAGGACTCCCAAATGCCCCCAACCTACCACCCCCAACCCTCTCCTTTATCCCCCCATCCCTCTCCAGGACCCCCAAATCACCCCCAAACTCCTTTTGTTTCCCCCAACACCCTCAGGACTCCAAAATACCCCCGACCTAACCCCCCCAATCCTCTCCTTATCCCCTCCAGGACCCCCAAATCCCCCAAACACCCTCCCAGCACCCCCAAATCCTCTCTCTGGACCCCCAAGCCCCAGGACTCCAAAATACCCTGACCTACCAATCCCCTCCCAACCTTCTCCTTTGTCCCCCCATCCCCTCCAGGCCCCCAACCCCCAAATCACCCCCAAACCCTTTTGTTCCCCCGACACCCCCAGGATTCCCAAATGCCCTGAACCTCAGCCAAGCCCCCCTCAACCAACCTCCCCTCAACCCTCTCCTTTATCCCCCTCCAGGACCCCCAAATCCCCCAAATCCCTCCCAGCACCCCCAAACCCTCTCTCTGGACCCCAACAGCCCCCAGGACTCCCAAATACCCCTGACCTACCAATCCCCTCCCAACCCTCTCCTTTATCTCCCCCAATCCCCTCCAGGACCTCCCAAATCACCCCCAAACCCCCTTTTGTTTCCCCCAACAGCCCCCAGGACTCCCAAATACCCTGACCTACCCATCCCCCTCCCAACCCTCTTCTTTATCCCCTCCAGGACCCCCAAATCCCCCTCCTCCAACCCTCTTCCTTTGACCCCCAACCTCTCCAGGACCCCCAAATCACCCCCAAACCCCTCTCTGGCCCCCTGGCCCCCCTTTGTGTCCCAGAGGGTCGGGAGTCCTTCGACTCTTGGGGTACGGAGGAGTCGAGGGAGAGGGCTGAGCTCCCCCACCTGGAGGGTCCCGGCCCCTGGGTGGCCTCGGTCACGGCCGACGTGCTGGTGCTGAGGGCAGAGCTCGACCTGCTGCTGGCCGTAGAGCATGGAGGCACTGGGAGGGACTGGGAGGCACTGGGAGGGACTGGGAGGCGTGATAGAGGGCTGGAGGCACTGGGAGGGACTGGAAGATGTTATAGGGGGCACTGGGAGGAACTGGGAGGGTGTTATGGGGCTGGGGGGCAGTGAGGAGGAACTGGGAGGTGTGTTATAGGGGCTGGGAGGCACTGGGAGGGAACTGGTAGGGACTGGTAGGTGTGATGGGGGCTGGGGGCACCGGGAGGGACTGGGAGATGTGATGGGGGCTGGGGGCACTGGGAGATGCACTGGGAGGGACTGGGAGATGTGATGGGGGCTGGGGGCACTGGGAGATGTTATGGGGGCTGGGGCACTGGGAGGGACTGGGAGATGTTATGGGGGCTGGGGAGCACTGGGAGACACTGGGAGGGACTGGGAGGTGTGATAGGGGGCTGGAGGCACTAGGAGGGACTGGGGAGATGTTATAGGGGGCACTGGGAGATGCTATAGGGGCTGGGAGCACTGGAAAGGAACTGGGAGGGACTGGGAAATGCTATATGGGGGCTTGGGGGCACTGGGAGGGAACTGGGAGGTGTTATAGGGGGCTGGGGTGCACTGGGAGGGAACTGGGAGGACTGGGAGGTGTTATAGGGGCTGGGAGCACTGGGAGGGAACTGGGAGGGACTGGGAGGTGTTATAGGGGGGCTGGGGGGCACTGGGAGGGACTGGTAGGTGTGATGGGGGGCTGGGAGGCACTGGGAGATGTTATAGGGGGCACTGGGAGGGACTGGGAGGTGTGATAAGAGGACTGGGGGTCACTGGGAGGCACTGGGAGATGTTATGAGGGGCTGGGGGAACACTGGGAGGGAACTGGGAGTGGACTGTGAGGTGTTATAGGGGGGCTGGGGGGCACTGGGAGGGACTGGGAGGTGTTATAGTGGGGCTGTGGGACACTGGGAGAGGACTGGGGGGTACTGGGAGATGTGGGCTGTAGGGCTCTGGGAGTGGACTGGGAGGAACTGGGAGGTGTTATAGGGGGGCTGTGGGGTACTGGGAGGCACTGGGAGATGTTATAGGGATACTGGGAGGGAAATGGGAGAGACTGAGAGGTGTTATAGGGGGGCTGTGGGGCACTGGGAGAGGACTGGGGGTTACTGGGAGATGTTATGGGGGGCTGTAGGGCTCTGGGAAGGGACTGGGGGGCACTGGGAGGGACTGGGAGGTGTTACAGGGGACTGGGGGGCACTGGGAGGGAACTGGGGAGTACTGGGGGAGTACTGGGATGGGACTGGGAAGGGCCTGGAAGGGGACTGAGGGGCACTGGGAGGGGGGTGGGGAGGAAGTTGGGAGGAACTGGGAGGGACTGCTTGGTCGCTGGGATGTACTGGTGGGCACTGGGAGGGTCACTGGGCTGTGCTGTGGGGCACTGGGCCTTAGTGGTCCATGTTGGGAGGCACTGGGAGGGTCACTGGCCCATACTGGTCCATACTGGGAGGCTGACTCTCCTCCCCCACCAGAACCAGCACCCGAACCCCCAGTTCTTCACCGAGATCCTGCTGGGAGGGGACGAGGTGAGACTGGGAAGGGACTGGGAGGGCACTGGGCTATACTGGGAGGCACTGGGAGGAGCACACAGCTATACTGGGAGGCACTGGGAGGAGCACATAGCTATGCTGGGAGGGCTGAGTAAGCCATTGTGGTCTCTGTTGGTACATACTGGTTCACACTGGTTTGTACTGGGAGCTGTGGGGGGTTTCAGTGGTGGAAGGAGGGTTCTGTGCTCACCTGTACTGGTTCCTGCTGGTTCATACTGGTCCGTATTGGCCTAAACTGGTCCTTACAGCCTAATGGCTCATACTGGTCTGTACCAGTCTCTACTGGTCCATACTGGTGGGCACAGGGGGGTTCAGGGTTGGATACCAGGCTGTTATATGAGCAGTTACTGGTTTATACTGGTCCACACCAGTCTATACTGGTCTGTACCGGTGGGCACAGGAGGGTTCAGGGTTGGATACCAGGCTGTTATATGAGCAGTTACTGGCCCGTACTGGTTTATACTGGTCCGTACTGGTGGGCACAGGGGTGTTCAGGGTTGCATACCAGGCTGTTATACGAGGAGTTACTGGCCCATACTGGTTTATACTGGTCCATGCCAGTCTATACTGGTCTGTACCAGTACACCAGGCTGTTACATGAGCAGTTACTGGCCCGTACTGGTTTATACTGGTCTGTACTGGTGGGCACAGGGGAGCTCAGGGTTGGATACCAGGCTGTTATATGAGCAGTTACTGGTTTATACTGGTCCATGCCAGTCTATACCGGTCTGTACCAGTATACCAGGCTGTTACATGAGCAGTTACTGGCCCGTACTGGTTTATACTGGTCCATACTGGTCTCTCTGGCGCCCCCCAGCAGCTGCTCGTGTCTGACGCGATGCCCACAGCAGACGGGGTCCTCCCGGCCGGTAGGGGGCGCTATAACGGGTTGTGTGGGTTGGGGATTTTTTTGTGGGCTTTCTTTAAAAATTTGGGGGTTTTTTTTTTTTTTTTTTTTTTTTTGTTTGTTTGTTTTTTTTGTTTTTTTTTGGTGACCTGTCAGGATTTTGGGGTTGGGGGGAGGGGGGAAGTTGAGGGGTCCCAGGTGGAGGTTTGGGAGGTGTTGGGGGGGGTCTCTGGATTTTTTTTTTTTTTTTTAGGAGATTTTTTTGGAGGATTTAGTTGGGATTTTGGGACCTATCGAGATCTTTTAGGGGGAGCTTGGGAGTCCTGGGGAAGTTTGAGGGGGTTTTGGGGGGTGTTTGGGGGTTCTGGGTAGGATGGGGGAGAGGGGTCCTGGGATTTTTTGGGGGGGTTTATTTGGGATTTTGGTTTTTTTTTTAATGACCTTCCTGGACCTTTTGGGGGGCATTGAGGGGGTCCAAGAGGGTAATTTGGGATTCTCTGTGGGTCCCAATTGGCTCCCTCTTCTCTCCAGGTGAAGTCCCCCAGGGACCCCCCCAAGACCCCCCAAATTTGGGGGAGGGGGGGGGCTGGGCCTGCGCTTCTTGTGCCTTCCTGAACCCCAGAGCGTCCTCTGTGGGGTCTAGAGCGCCCTGCCTGGCCCGGAGGCTGAGCCACACCCAGCAGGTGGGTCGGGGGGGGGATCCTGAGTGGGTTTTGGGGAGTCCCAGGTGTGTTTTTGGGTGGTCCCAGGTGTGTTTTTTGGGGGGTCCCAGGTGTATTTTGGGGTGTGCCAGGTGTGTTTTTGGGGGGTCCCAGGTGTATTTTGGGGGGTCCCAGGTGTGTTTTTGGGGGTCCCAGGTGTATTTTGAGGCATGCCAGGTGTGTTTTTGGGGAGTCCCAGGTGTGTTTTTGGGTGGTCCCAGGTGTGTTTTTGGGGGGTCCCAGGTGTGTTTTTGGGTGGTCCCAGGTGTGTTTTTGGGGGTCCCAGGTGTGTTTTGTGGGGTGCAAGGTGTGTTTTTGGGTGGTCCCAGGTGTGTTTTTGGGGGTCCCAGGTGTATTTTGGGGGGTCCCAGGTGTGTTTTTGGGTGGTCCCAGGTGTGTTTTTGGGGGTCCCAGGTGTGTTTTTGGGGGGTCCCAGGTGTATTTTGGGGTGTTCCAGGTTTGTTTTGGGGGGTCCCAGGTGTGTTTTGGGGGGTCCCAGGTGTATTTTGAGGCATGCTGGGTGTGTTTTTGGGTGGTCCCAGGTGTGTTTTTGGGGGTCCCAGGTGTGTTTTTGGGGGGTCCCAGGTGTATTTTGGGGTGTTCCAGGTTTGTTTTGGGGGGTCCCAGGTGTGTTTTTGGGGTCCCAGGTGTATTTTGGGGTGTGCCAGGTGTGTTTTTGGGGGTCCCAGGGGTGTTTTTTGGGATTCAAGGTGTGTTTTGGTGGGTCATGAGTGTATTTTGGGGGTCCCAGGTGTGTTTTGGGGGTCCCAGGTGTGTTTTTGGGGGTCCCAGGTGTATTTTGAGGCATGCCAGGTGTGTTTTGGGGGGGTCCCAGGTGTGTTTTGGGGGTTCCCAGGTGTGTTTTGGGGTTGTCTGGGGGGTCCCAGGGGTGTTTTTTGGGATTCAAGGTGTGTTTTGGTGGGTCATGAGTGTATTTTGGGGGTCCCAGGTGTGTTTTGGGGGTCCCAGGTGTGTTTTTGGGGGTCCCAGGTGTATTTTGAGGCATGCCAGGTGTGTTTTGGGGGGTCTCAGGTATGTTTTGGGGTTGTCTGGGGGGGTCCCCGGGGTGTTTTTTGGGATTCAAGGTGTGTTTTGGTGGGTCATGAGTGTGTTTTCGGGGGTCCCAGGTATGTTTTGGGTCATCCTAGGGGCATTTTTGGGGGTCCCAGGTGTATTTTGAGGGGTCCAAGTTATGTTTTGTGACTCCCAGGTGAGTTTTAGGGTGTCCCAGGGGCATTTTGAGGTCTATTTTTGGGAATCCCAGGTGTGTTTTAGGGTGGTCCCAGAGGGGGGTTTTGGGTGGTCCCAGATGTATTTTGGGTGGTTTCAGGTGAGTTTTGGCAGGTCCCAGGTAGATTTTGGGGGGGTCCCAGGTGTGTTTTTTGGGACCCTACTTGTGTTTGGGTGGTCCCAGCTGTATTTTGGGTGGTCCCAGCTGTATTTTGGGTGGTCCCAGCTGTATTTCGGGATGTTCCAGGTGTGTTTGGGTGGGTCCCAGCTGTATTTTGGGTGGTCCCAGGTACATTTTGGGTGGTCCCAGCTGTATTTTGGGTGGGTCCCAGGTACATTTTGGGTGATCCCAGCTGTAGTTTGGGGTGTTCCAGGTGTGTTTGGGTGGGTCCCAGGTACATTTTGGGTGATCCCAGCTGTATTTTGGATGGTCCCAGGTACATTTTGGGTGGGTCCCAGCTGTATTTTGGGTGGTCCCAGCTGTATTTTGGGGTGTCCCAGCTGTATTTTGGGTGGTCCCAGCTGTATTTTGGGGTGTTCCAGGTGTGTTTGGGTGGGTCCCAGGTACATTTTGGGTGGTCCCAGCTGTATTTTGGGTGGTCCCAGCTGTATTTTGGGTGGTCCCAGCTGTATTTTGGGTGGTCCCAGCTGTATTTTGGGTGGTCCCAGGCACATTTTGGGTGGTCCCAGCTGTATTTTGCGTGGTCCCAGCTGTATTTTGGGGTGTTCCAGGTGTGTTTGGGTGGGTCCCAGGTACATTTTGGGTGGTCCCAGCTGTATTTTGGGTGGTCCCAGCTGTAGTTTGGGGTGTTCCAGGTGTGTTTGGGTGGGTCCCAGCTGTATTTTGGGTGGTCCCAGGTACATTTTGGGTGATCCCAGCTGTATTTTGGGTGGTCCCAGGTACATTTTGGGTGATCCCAGCTGTATTTTGGGGTGTTCCAGGTGTGTTTGGGTGGGTCCCAGCTGTATTTTGGGTGGTCCCAGGTATATTTTGGGTGGATCTCAGGTATATTTTGGGTGGTCCCAGGTACATTTTGGGTAGTCCCAGCTGTATTTTGGGGTGTTCCAGGTATGTTTAGATGGATCCCAGCTGTATTTTGGATGGTCCCAGGTATATTTTGGGTGGCCCCAGGTACATTTTGGGTGGTCCCAGGTACATTTTGGGTGGTCCCAGCTGTATTTTGGGGTGTTCCAGGTGTGTTTGAGTGGATCCCAGGTACATTTTGGGTGGTCCCAGCTGTAGTTTGGGTGGGTCCCAGGTACATTTTGGGTGGTCCCAGCTGTATTTTGTGTTGTCCCAGCTGTATTTTGGGTGGGTCCCAGGTACATTTTGGGTTGGTCCCAGCTGTATTTTGTGTTGTCCCAGCTGTATTTTGGGTGGGTCCCAGGTATATTTTGGGTGGTCCCAGGTACATTTTGGGTGGTCCCAGCTGTATTTTGTGTTGTCTCAGCTGTATTTTGGGTGGTCCCAGCTGTATTTTGTGTTGTCCCAGCTGTATTTTGGGTGGGTCCCAGGTACATTTTGGGTGGTCCCAGCTGTATTTTGGGTGGTCCCAGCTGTATTTTGGGTGGTCCCAGCTGTATTTTGGGTGGTCCCAGGTACATTTTGGGTGGTCCCAGCTGTATTTTGGGTGGTCCCAGGTGTATTTTGGGTGGTCCCAGGTACATTTTGGGTGGTCCCAGCTGTATTTTGGGTGGTCCCAGCTGTATTTTGGGTGGTCCCAGGTACATTTTGGGTGGGTCCCAGGTACATTTTGGGTGGGTCCCAGGTGTATTTTGGGTGGTCCCAGCTGTATTTTGGGGTGTTCCAGGTACATTTTGGGTGGTCCCAGGTACATTTTGGGTGGGTCCCAGGTACATTTTGGGTGGGTCCCAGCTGTATTTTGGGTGGTCCCAGCTGCATTTTGGGTGGTCCCAGGTACATTTTGGGTGGTCCCAGCTGTATTTTGGGTGATCCCAGTTGTATTTTGGGTGGGTCGCAGGTGTGTTTGGATGGGTCCCAGCTGTATTTTGGGTGATCCCAGCTGTAGTTTGGGGTGTTCCAGGTGTGTTTGGGTGGTCCCAGCTGTATTTTGGGTGATCCCAGCTGTAGTTTGGGGTGTTCCAGGTGTGTTTTGGGTGGTCCCAGCTGTATTTTGGGTGGGTCCCAGCTGTATTTTGGGTGGGTCTCAGGTGTGTTTGGGTGGTCCCAGCTGTATTTTGGGTGGTCCCAGGTACATTTTGGGTGGTCCCAGGTGTATTTTGGGTGGTCCCAGCTGTAGTTTGGGTGGTCCCAGGTACATTTTGGGTGGTCCCAGCTGTATTTTGGGATGTTCCAGGTGTGTTTGGATGGGTCCCAGGTACATTTTGGGTTGGTCCCAGGTGTGTTTGGGTGGTCCCAGCTGTATTTTGGGTGGTCCCAGCTGTATTTTGGGTGGTCCCAGGTATATTTTGGGTGATCCCAGCTGTAGTTTGGGTGGTCCCAGCTGTAGTTTGGGGTGTTCCAGGTGTGTTTGGGTGGGTCCCAGGTACATTTTGGGTGGTCCCAGCTGTATTTTGGGGTGTTCCAGGTGTGTTTGGGTGGGTCCCAGGTACATTTTGGGTGGGTCCCAGGTACATTTTGGGTGGGTCTCAGGTACATTTTGGGTGGTCCGAGGTACATTTGATGGTCCCAGCTGTATTTTGGGGTGTTCCAGGTGTGTTTGGGTGGGTCTCAGGTACATTTTGGGTGGTCCGAGGTACATTTTGGGTGGTCCCAGCTGTATTTTGGGGTGTTCCAGGTGTGTTTGGGTGGGTCCCAGGTGTATTTTGGGTGGTCCCAGGTACATTTTGGGTGGTCCCAGCTGTATTTTGGGGTGTTCCAGGTGTGTTTGGGTGGTCCCAGGTATATTTTGGGTGGTCCCAGGTATATTTTGGGTGGTTCCAGGTACATTTTGGGTGGTCCCAGCTGTATATTTCAGGTGGGTCTCAGGTGTGTTCGGGTGGTCCCGGGGGAGGGCGTTGTTCGAGTGTATTTTGGGGAGGGGTCTCAGCTGAGTTTTTGGGGGGTCTCAGCCCCCCCCCGAGCCTGCCCAGGTGTGGCCCTGCCCCCACTGCACGTACCTGAACGAAGGCCCCGCCCCCACCTGCGCCGTGTGCCAGCGCCCCTGGCAGCCACGCCCTCCTGCGCCTGGCCACGCCCTCCCGGGATGCTTTGCGGCAGCAGCGGCTCCTGAACGACGGCAGGAGTTGGTGGCCCCCGTGAGGGTGAGGATTAGGGGGGTTAAAGGGGTTTTGGGGGATTTTGAGGGGATTTGGGGATCGTGAGGGTGAGATTTGGGGGAGTTAAAGGAGCTTTGGGGGTTCTGAGAGGATTTGGGGGTTCTGGGGATTTGGGGGTTAAAGGGGTTTTGGGGGGTTCTCAGGGATTTGGGGGATCGTGAGGGTGAGATTTAGAGGGTTAAAGGTTTTGAGGGGTTCTCAGGGGATTTGGGGGTTCTTGGGGATTTGGGGGTTCTGAGGGATTTGGGAGGATCGTGAGGTGAGATTTGGGGGGAGTTAAAGGGGTTTTGGGGGTTCTCAGGGATTTGGGGGTTCTTGGGGATTTGGGGGATCGTGAGGGTGAGATTTGGGGGGCTGGGGGGGTTAAAAAGGGGTTTTGGGGGTTCTGAGGGATTTGGGGGTGATCGTGAGGGTGAGATTTGGGGACTGGGGGGTTAAAGGGGTTTTGGGGGTTCTTGGGGAATTTGGGGGATCGTGAGGGAGAGATTTGGGGGCTGAGGGGGTTAAAGGGGTTTTGGGGGTTCTTGGGATTGTGAGGGTGAGATTTGGGGGCTGGGGGTTAAAGGGTTTTGGGGGTTCTTGGGGGATTGTGAGGGTGAGATTTGGGGGGCTGGGGGGGTTAAAGGGGCTTTAGGGGGTTCTTGGGGATTTTGGGGGATCCTGGGGTGGCTGAGAGGGGGATACAAGAGGGTCAGGGGGAATTGAGGGATTTTGGGGGTTTCTGGGGAGTTTGAGAGGGGATAAAAGGGGCTTTGGGGGATGTGTGGATCCTTGGGGGCTTTAGGGGGTTCCTGGGGGGCTTGGAGGGATTTGGGGGGATGTCGTGGATTCCTAGGGGGTTCTCGAGGGTTCCTGAGGGGTTTGGGGGATTTTTAGGAGGTTTTTGGGGGTCTTGGGGGAGGGTTTGAGGTGTCCCTTGGTGGGCTAGGGTTCCTGGGAGAGTTTGGGGAGGTTTTAGGAGTTTTGGGGGTTTCTGAGGGGATTTGGAGGGTCTTGGGGTGGTTTGGGGGGGGGATTGGGGAGGACTTGAGGGGGTTTGGGAGGTCCTTGAGGTGGTTGGGGGGTCCTTGAGGGGGTTTGGAGGTCCCTGGGTGGGTTTGGGGGGTTTTTTAGGAGATTTTGGGGGTTCTGGGAGGGGTTTTGGGGACCCCCAGTAGGTTTTGGAGGTCCCTGGATGGGTTTTGGGGGGATTTTTAGGAGGTTTTTGGGGGTCCTGGGAGGGGTTTTGAGGACTCCCAGTAGGTTTGGGAGGTCCCTGGGTGGACTGGGGGTGGGTTAGGAGGTTTTTGAGGTTCTGGGAGGGGTTTGGGGACCCCCAGTAGGTTTGGGAGGTCCCTGGGTGGATTTGGGGCAATTTTTAGGAGGTTTTTGGGGGTTCTGGGAGGGGTTTTGGGGACCCCCCAGTGGGTTTTGGAGGTCCCTGGGTGGGTTTCAGGGGACTTTTAGGAGGTTTTTGGAGGTCCTGGGGGGTTTTGAGGGTTCCCCGGGCTGTGTTTGGGAGGGTTCTGGTGGGTTTTGGGTGCGTTTGGGGGATCCCAGGCGGGGATTTGGGGGCTCCCTGGGTGGGTTTGGGGATGTTCCTCCCTCCTGACTCCCTTTCCCTCCAGGCCGCCGAGTCCCAGAGGCTGCCCCGGAATCTTTAAGCCCCCTCCTGCTGCGCCCTCCCCGCCATGCTCTGGAGTTTCGGGGATCCCCACAGCCCCCCTCCCCAGGAGGTTGTTTCGGGGGTTCAGGGCCCCGCCTCGGAGTCTCCTCCAGGCCCTGCTGGAGGAGGAGCGTCGGGGGGCCCTGGAGAAGGGGGGACCCCTCGGGACCCCCTCCCTGCGTGAGGCCGCCTGGGCGTGGCTTAAAGGGGCGGGGCAGCCCGACCACGCCCTCCTGGCTCCTGATTGGACAGCGCCGGTGTCAGGTGAGGGAGGGAGCTAAAGGGGGGAGGGGTCCCAGAGAGGGTCTCAAGGGGGAGATTGGGGGCGGGGCTTAGTCTGAGGGTGGGGCTGAGGTGATGGGGAGGGGTTGACGGGGTAAAATGAGTTGGGGGCGTGGTTTAGTCTGGGGGCGGGGCTTAGCGAGGAGGGGCCTGTGGGTGGGGTTTGGGGAGGGTTAAAGGGGTGGGGGTTTCATATTGGGTCTCAAGGGGGAGATTGGGGGTGGGGCTTAGTTGTGGGAAGGGGCCTGGGGGTGGGGTTTGGGGAGGAGATTAAGGGGAGTGTAAAGGTTTGGGGCGTGGTTTAATCGGGGGTGGGGGCTTGGTTGGTGGGGAGGGGCCTGGGGTGGGCTTTGGGGAGAGGGCTAAGGGGTGGGGGTCCTACAGAGGGTCTCAAGGGGGTGATTGGGGGTGGGAGGGCTTAGTCTGGGGGGCGGGGCTGAGGTGATGGGGAGGGGTTAAGGGGGTGAAATGAGTTGGGGGTGTGGTAGTAATTGGGGAGGGCTTGGTGGGGAGGGGCCTGGGGTGGGGTTAAAGGAGGGTGAAAAGGGTTGGGGTGTGGCTTAGTTTTGGGAGTGGGGGCTTCTTGGGTGGGGAGGGGCCTGAGGGGTGCAGGGTTTAGGGAGGATTAAGGGGTGGGGGGGCCTCATAGAGTGTCTCAAGGGGTGATTGGGGGCGTAGGCTTAGTCTGGGGCGGGCTGAGAGTGATGGGGAGGGGGTTAATGGGGGTAAAATGAGTTGGGGGTGTGGTTTAATTGGGGGTGGGGCTTATTTGGTGGGGAGGGGCCTGGGGGAGGGTTAAAGGAGGGTGAAAAGTATTGGGGGTGGGGCTTAGTTTGGGGGTGGGGGCTTGGTTGGTGGGGAGGAGCCTGAGGTGGGGTTTGGGGAGGGTTAAGGGTGGGGGGTCTCATAGAGGGTCTCAAGGAGGATATTGGGGGTGGGGCTTATTTGGTGGTGAGGGGCCTGGGGGTGGGGCTTGGAGAGGAGTTAAGGGGGATGAAAAGGGTTGGGGGTGTGGTTTGATTGGGGGTGGGGCTTAGTTGTGGGGAGGGGCCTGGGGAGGGGTTTGGGGAGGGTTAAGGGGTGGGGGGTCCTATAGAGGGTCTCAAGGGGTGATTAGGGGTGGGGCTTAGTCTGGGGGTGGGGCTGAGGTGATGGGGAGGGGTTAAGGGGGTGAAATGAGTTGGGGCGTGGATTTAGTCTGGGGGCAGGGGCTTGGTTGGTGGGGGAGGGGCCTGGGGGAGGGGTTAAAGGAGGGTGAAAATGGTTGGGGTGTGGCTTAGTTTTGGGGTGGGGCTTATTTGGTGGGAGAGCCTGAGGGTGGGGTTAAAGGAGGGTGAAAAGGGTTGGGGGTGTGGCTTAGTTTTGGGGTGGGGCTTGATTGGTGGGGAGGGGCCTGGGGAGGGGTTAAAGGAGGTGAAAAGTATTGGGGGTGGGGCTTAGTTTGGGAGTGGAGCTTATTTGGTGGGAGGAGCCTGAGGGTGGGGGTTGGGGAGGGTTAAGGGGGTGAAAAGGGTTGGGGGCGTGGTTTAGTCTGGGGGCAGGGCTTAATGAGGAGGGGCCTGGGGGTGGGGTTTGGGGAGAGGTTAAGGGGAGTCTCATAGAGGGTCTCAAGGGGTGATTTGGGGCGTGGCTTAGTCTGGGGTGGGGCTTGGTTGGTGGGGAGAGGCTTGGGGGTGGGGTTTGGGGAGGGTTAAGGGGTGGGGGGTCTCATAGAGGTCTCAAGGGGGAAGTTGGGGCAGGGCTTAGTCTGGGGGTGGGGCTTAGTCATGTGGGAGGGGCCTGAGGGTGGGGGTTTGGGGAGGGGTTAAGGGGGTAAAATGAGTTGGGGTGTGGTTTAATTGGGGTAGGGCTTGGTGGGAGGAGAGTGAAATGGTTGGGGGTGTGGCTTAGTTTGGGGTGGGGCTTCTTGGGTGGGGAGGGGCCTGAGGGTGGGGTTTGGGGGAGGGGTTAAGGGGGTGAAAAGGGTTTGGGGGCGTGGTTTAATCGGGGGGTGGGGCTTAGGTGATGGGTGGGGCTTGGTGGGCAGGGTGTGGGAAGGGGGTGGGGCTTAAATGGGTGGGGGGTCCCATGGATTGACCTGAATGGAGGGGGGGGCTCGGTGTAGGGCTTAGGTCTGGGGTTACTGGGAGTCACTGGTTTGGGCTTTGGGGTTACTGGGAGTCACTGGTTTGGGCTTGGGGATTACTGGGAGTCACTGGTTTGGGCTTTGGGATTACTGGGAGTCACTGGTTTGGGCTTTGGGGTTACTGGGAGTCGCTGGTTTGGGCTTTGGGGTTACTGGGAGTCACTGGTTTGGGCTTTGGGGTTACTGGGAGTCACTGGTTTGGCGGTTGGTCCATACTGGGTGGTTTATGGGGTGTAGGTAGGGTTGTAGACTGGTTCTTACTGGTTTCTACCAATCCATACCAGTCTGTACCAGTCCATACCAGTCCATACTGGTTGTTACTGGTGCACAGTCCGTTATACTGGTCCACAGCAGGTGGTTTATGGGATGGAAGAGAGGGTTTAGAGTGTTTTGAACTGGTTTGTACTGGTCCACAGCAGTCTGTACCAGACCGTACTGGCCCATACTGGTTCATACTCCTTTATACTGGTCCATTCTTGGAGACTCAGGGGACATAAGAGAGGTTCTGTACTGGTTTATACTGGTTTGTACCAGTCCATGGTAGTTTGTATCAGTCCCTGCTGGTCCCTACTGGCTCATGCTGGTCCAAACTGGTCTATACTGGTCCACACCAGGTGGTTTATGGGATGGAATAGAGGTTGTAGAGTGGTTTATACTGGTTTATATTGGTTTATTAGTCCATACCAGTTTGTACCAGTGTGGACTGGTACAACCACCACACCGGGTGGTTCGTGGGATGGAACAGAGGCTGTAGAGTGGTTATACTGGTTTGTGCCAGTCCCTACTGGTCCATACTGGTCTATACTGGTCCACACTAGCTGGTTTATGGGATGGAATAGAGGTCATAGAGTGGTTGTACTGGTTTGTGCCAGTCTGTACCGTTCTGTACTGGTCCGTACTGGTCAATACCAGGTGGTTTATGGGACAGAACAGAGGCTGTAGAGTGGTTCATACTGGTCTGTACTGGTCTGTACTGATCCTGACTGGTCCATACCAGGTGGTTCATGGGACAGAACAGAGGTCGTAGAGTGGTTCATACTGGTTTGTGCCAGTCTGTACCAGTCTATACTGGTCCACACCAGGTGGTTTATGGGATGGAACGGAGACCATAGAGTGGTTCATACTGGTTTGTGCCAGCCTGTACTGGTTTGTACTGGTCCATACCAGGTGGTTTATGGGACAGAACAGAAGTCATAGAGTGGTTCATACTGGTTTGTGCCAGTCTGTAGTGGTTTGTACTGGTCTGTACTGGTCCATACCAGGTGGTTTATGGGACACAACAGAAGTCATAGAGTGGTTCATACTGGTTTGTGCCAGCCTGTACTGGTTTGTACTGGTCTATACTGGTCTATACCAGGTGGTTTATGGGATGGAACAGAGGCCGTAGAGTGGTTCATACTGGTTTGTGGTGGTCTGTACCAGTCCGTACCGGTCCGTACTGGTCTGTATCGGTCTGTACTGGTCTGTACCGATCTGTACCGGTCTGTACCAGTCTGTACCGATCTGTATCGGTCCGTACTGGTCCGTACCGGTCTGTACCGGTCTGTACCGGTCTGTACTGGTCTGTACTGGTCTGTACTGGTCTGTACCAATCTGTACCAATCTGTACCGGTCTGTACTGGTCCGTACCGGTCTGTACCGGTCTGTACCGGTCTGTACTGGTCTGTACCAATCTGTACCAATCTGTACCGGTCTGTACTGGTCCGTACTGGTCTGTACAGGTCCGTACTGGTCTGTACCGGTCTGTACTGGTCTGTACGGGTCCGTACTGGTCTGTACTGGTCCGTACTGGTCTGTATTGGTCTGTACCGATCTGTACTGGTCTGTACTGGTCTGTACCGGTCTGTACCGATCTGTACTGGTCTGTACTGGTCTGTACCGATCTGTACCGGTCTGTACTGGTCTGTACGGGTCCGTACTGGTCTGTACTGGTCCGTACTGGTCTGTATTGGTCTGTACCGATCTGTACTGGTCTGTACTGGTCTGTACTGGTCTGTACCGGTCTGTACCGATCTGTACCGGTCTGTACTGGTCTGTACCGATCTGTACTGGTCCGTACTGGTCTGTACTGGTCTGTACCGATCTGTACTGGTCTGTATTGGTCTGTACCGGTCTGTACTGGTCTGTACCGATCTGTACTGGTCTGTACTGGTCCGTACTGGTCCTGACTGTCCCTCGTGGCCGCAGCTCCGGGCCCTGTCAGCGCTGGGGTTCCGGGATCGCCGGGAGGTGGCGCTGGCGCTGCAGCGACACGGAGGGGACCAGTGGGGGGCGCTGCGGGAGCTGCAGCGGCCCCGGCTCCGCCCCTTCCTGCAGCGCCTCTGGCAGCCACCGGGGGCGCTGGACTTCGAGTGCCCCGACCAGCAGGTGAACTGGGGGCACTGGGGGCACTGGGAGGGGATTGGGAAGGACTGGGGAGGGACTGGAAGGGGATTGGGAGGGAATTGGAGGGAACTGGGTGGGACTGGGGGAGTTGGGGAGGGGACTGGGAGGGATTGGGAAGGACTGGGGAGGGACTGGGAGGGCATTGGGAGGGGTTGGGAAGGACTGGGAGGGGATTGGAGGAAACTGGGTGGGACTGGGGGAGTGGGGGGATTGGGAGGGATTGGGTGGGAATGGGGAGTGGGGGGACTGGGAGGATTGGGAGGAGTGGGATGGGATTGGGAGGGACTGGGAGGGGATTTGGAGGGGTTGGGGAGATTGGGAGGGAACTGGAAGGGAGTGGGAGAGGGACTGAGAGGGGATTGGGGGAGTGGGGGGACTGGGAGGGGATTGGGAGGGACTGGGAGGGGATTGGGAGGGACTGGGAGGGGATTGGGGGGACTAGGAAGGACTAAGTGGGAACTGGAAGGGACTGGGAGGAGATTGGGAGGGACTGGAAAGAGATTGGGGAGGGAGTGGGAGGCACTGGGATGGGATTGGGGTTCTGGGAGGGACTGGGAGGCAGTGGAGTCCCAAGCCCTTACTGGTCTTACTGGTTTAGGACTTTGAGTTATTGGGAGCAACTGGGATTTACTGGTTGGGGGTTTGGATTTACTGGGCGTTACTGGGAGTGGATTTAGGCTTACTGGAAGTTACTGGTGTGGGGTTTTTGGTTACGGGGTTTGGGTTATTGGGAGCCACTGGGTGTTACTGGTGTTGGGTTTGGGCTTACTGGGCCAAACTGGATTGGTTTGGGTTGGAGTTACTGGTTGGCTCTTTGATCTCACTGGGAGCTACTGGTCCTTACTGGGGGATGGGGTCACCCGTGCTCTCCCCTCCCCCCAGGCGCTGGTCCGGCGGATTTTGGCCACCCTGGACGTGGCCAGTTGGGGCCGGGCCTTACTGGTGGCCAGTTTGGGGCGCGAGCTGGGACTGGGCAAGGTGGAGCCCGGCAGCGAGGGCTTACTGGGAGAACTGGTGGAGGCGGTGAAGGACTGCCCGGACCGCGCGGCCCTGAGGAGGAGGCTCCGCTGCGAGTGCGCCGTGTGCGGGTGGGGCCTGCCCCGGGCACAGGTGGGCACTGGTTTGTGCTCTGGTTACTGGGCTGGACTGGTTTGGTCTGGGAGGGGCTTGGGAGGGACTGCAAGGGGATGGGAGGGACTGGGAGGGACTGGGAAGGACTAAGTGAGAACTGGAAGGGACTGGGGAGGAGATTGGGAGGGACTGGGAGGGTGCAGGGAGGAACTGGGAGGAGGAGTTGGAGAGGGACTGGGAGGAGGCTAAGTGAGAACTGGAGGACTGGGGAGGAGACTGGGGAGGGACTGGGAGGGGATTGGGGAGGGGACTGGGAGGGGATTGGGGGGACTGGGAAGGGCTAAGTGAGAACTGGAAGGACTGGGGAGGAGATTGGGAGGACTGGGAGGGGATTGGGGAGGACTGGGAGGGGATTGGAGGGACTGGGAAGGACTAAGTGAGAACTGGAAGGGACTGGGGAGGAGATTGGGAGGGACTGGGAGGGAGTTGGGAGGGACTGGGAGGGGGTTGGGAGGGGATTGGGAGGGACTGGGAAGGGCTAAGTGAGAACTGGAAGGGACTGGGGAGGAGATTGGGAGGGACTGGGAGGGGATTGGGAGGGAGTGGGAGGAGATTGGGGAGGGAGTGGGAGGGGATTGGGGAGGACTGGGAGGGGATTGGAGGGACTGGGAAGGGCTAAGTGAGAACTGGAAGGGACTGGGGAGGAGATTGGGAGGGACTGGGAGGGGATTGGGAGGGACTGGGAGGGGATTGGGAGGGGATTGGGAGGGACTGGGAGGGGATTGGAGGGAACTGGGAGGGGATTGGGAAGGACTGGGAGGGGATTGGAGGGACTGGAAAGGACTAAGTAAGAACTGGAAGGGATTGGGACTTACTGGTTTGGGGTTTGGCATTACTGGGAGTTGCTGGGGGCTTCCTGAGGAGTTACTGGAGGATTACTGGGAGCTACTGGGGTGACTGGAAGCTGCCAGTTTGGGTGTGTTACTGTCTGCAATTCCACCTGGGACCACTTGGGGCAGCACTAACTGTGTCCACAGTGATAACGCTTACTGGTGTGTTACTGGGCTCTTACTGGTCTTTACTGGTTTGTACTGGCTGCTTGTACCCTGAGTGTTTATGGCTGCTCTGCTGGATGGGGGCCCTTCTTACCCATTTAGGGTCTGGGGTCACTTGGACTTTACTGGTTTGGGGGTTGGCGTTACTGGGAATCGTTAAGGCCTTACTGGGGGTCACTGGGAGCGACTGGTTTTCATGGATTATATTGGCTGCAGTTCCACCTGCGACCACCGGGGGCAGCACGAGCACTATTATATCTATGTGTAATAATGGCTACTGGTGTGTGACTGGTCCTTACTGGTGCGTGACTGGTCCTCACTGGTGCGTGACTGGTGTGTGCCTGGTCCTCACTGGTGCGTGCCTGGTCCTTACTGATGCGTGACTGGTCCTCACTGGTGCGTGACTGGTCCTTACTGGTGTGTGCCTGGTCCTTACTGATGCGTGACTGGTCCTCACTGGTGCGTGACTAGTCCTTACTGGTGCGTGCCTGGTCCTTACTGGTGCATGCCTGGTCCTTATTAGTACGTGCCTGGTCCTTACTGGTGCGTGCCTGATCCTTACTGGTGTGTGCCTGATCCTTACTGGTGTGTGCCTGGTCCTTACTGGTGTGTCACTGGTCCTTATTCGTGTGTGACTGGTGTGTGCCTGGTCCTTACTGGTGCGTGCGTGGTCCTTACTGGTGCGTGCCTGGTCCTTACTGGTCCTTACTGGGGGTCACTGGGAGCGACTGGTTTTCATGGATTACATTGGCTGCAGTTCCACCTGCGACCACCGGGGGCAGCACAAGCACTATTATATCTATGTGTAATGATGGCTATTGGTGCGTGCTGGTCCTTACTGGTGCGTGACTGGTCCTCACTGGTGCGTGACTGGTGTGTGCCTGGTCCTCACTGGTGCGTGCCTGGTCCTTACTGGTGCGTGCCTGGTCCTTACTGGTGCATGACTGGTCCTTACTGATGCGTGACTGGTCCTCACTGGTGCGTGCCTGGTCCTCACTGGTGCGTGACTGGTCCTTACTGGTGCGTGCCTGGTCCTTACTGGTGTGTGACTGATGCGTGCCTGGTCCTTACTGGTGCATGACTGGTCCTTACTGATGCGTGACTGGTCCTCACTGGTGCGTGCCTGGTCCTCACTGGTGCGTGACTGGTCCTTACTGGTGCGTGCCTGGTCCTTACTGGTGCGTGACTGGTGTGTCAGTGGTCCTTACTGGTGCATGCCTGGTCCTTATTAGTACGTGCCTGGTCCTTACTGGTGCATGCCTGATCCTTACTGGTGCGTGCCTGGTCCTTACTGGTGCGTGCCTGGTCCTTACTGGTGTGTGACTGGTGCATGCCTGGTCCCTACTGGTGCGTGACTGGCCCTTACTGGTGCGTGCCTGGTCCTTACTGGGGGTCACTGGGAGCGAGTGGTTTTCATGGATTATATTGGCTGCAGTTCCACCTGCGACCACCGGGGGCAGCACAAGCACTATTATATCTATGTGTAATAATGGCTACTGGTCCTTACTGGTGTGTCACTGGTCCTCACTGGTGCGTGACTGGTGTGTGACTGGTCCCTACTGGTGTGTGACTGGTGTGTGCCTGGTCCTTACTGGTGCGTGACTGGTCCTTACTGGTGTATGACTGATCCTCACTGGTGTGTGACTGGTGTGTGCCTGGTCCTTACTGGTGCATGCCTGGTCCTCACTGGTACGTGCCTGGTCCTTACTGGTGTGTGACTGGTGCATGCCTGGTCCTTACTGGTGCGTGACTGGTCCTTACTGGTGTGTGACTGGTCCTTATTAGTGCGTACCTGGTCCTTACTGGAGGGTCACTGGGAGCGACTGGTTTTCATGGATTATATTGGCTGCAGTTCCACCTGCGACCACCGGGGGCAGCACAAGCACTATTATATCTATGTGTAATAATGGCTACTGGTGCGTGACTGGTCCTTACTGGTGCGTTACTGGTCCTCACTGGTGTGTGACTGGTGTGTGCCTGGTCCTTACTGGTGCGTGACTGGTCCTCACTGGTGCGTGCCTGGTCCTCACTGGTGCGTGACTGGTCCTTACTGGTGCGTGCCTGGTCCTTACTGGTGCGTGACTGGTGTGTGCCTGGTCCTTACTGGTGCATGCCTGGTCCTTATTAGTACGTGCCTGGTCCTTACTGGTGCATACCTGATCCTTACTGGTGTGTGCCTGGTCCTTACTCGTGTGTGACTGGTGTGTGCCTGGTCCTTACTGGTGCGTGCCTGGTCCTTACTGGTGCGTGCCTGGTCCTTACTGGTGCGTGCCTGGTCCTTACTGGGGGTCACTGGGAGCGACTGGTTTTCATGGATTATATTGTCTGCAGTTCCACCTGCGACCACCGGGGGCAGCACGAGCACTATTATATCCATGTGTAATAATGGCTACTGGTGCGTGCCTGGTCCTTACTGGTGTGTGCCTGGTCCTTACTGGTGCGTGCCTGGTCCTTACTGGTGCGTGCCTGGTCCTTACTGGTGCATGCCTGGTCCTTACTGGTGCATGATTGGTCCTTACTGGTGCATGCCTGGTCCTTACTGGTGCGGGCCTGGTCCTTACTGGTGTGTCAGTGGTCCTTACTGGTGTGTGCCTGGTCCTTACTGGTGTGTGACTGGTCCTTACTGGTGTGTGACTGGTCCTTACTGGGGGTCACTGGGAGCGACTGGTTTTCATGGATTATATTGGCTGCAGTTCCACCTGCGACCACCGGGGGCAGCACAAGCACTATTATATCTATGTGTAATAATGGCTACTGGTGCGTGACTGATCCTTACTGGTGCGTGCCTGGTCCTTACTGGTGCGTGCCTGGTCCTTACTGGTGCGTGACTGGTCCTCACTGGTGCGTGCCTGGTCCTTACTGGTGCGTTACTGGTGCGTGCCTGGTCCTTACTGGTGCGTGACTGGTGCGTGCCTGGTCCTTACTGGTGCGTTACTGGTGCGTGCCTGGTCCTTACTGGTGCGTGACTGGTGCATGCCTGGTCCTTATTAGTACGTGCCTGGTCCTTACTGGTGCGTGCCTGGTCCTTACTGGTGTGTCACTGGTCCTTACTGGTGTGTGACTGGTGCGTGCCTGGTCCTTACTGGTGCGTGACTGGTCCTTACTGGTGCGTACCTGGTCGTTACTGGGGGTCACTGGGAACGACTGGTTTTCATGGATTATATTGGCTGCAGTTCCACCTGCGACCACCGGGGGCAGCATAAGCACTCATATCTATGTGTAATAATGGCTACTGGTCCTCACTGGTGCATGACCGGTCCCTACTGGTGTTTGCTGGTGCAGATGCAGTGGCTGCCGGGCTGCTCATGCCCACTGTGCCCCGAGTGCTTCCGCCTGCACTTCACGGTGGGGGTCCGGGAGAGGGGGGTGGGCGCCCTGGGCTGCCCCAGCTGCTCCCGCCCCGACCTGCGTGACGAGGCCCAGCGCCTCTGGTACTGGTCCACACTGGAACCACAGGTACTGGGAGCACTGGGAGGGATGGGGGGGATGCAGAACAGAGGGGATTGGGAGGGGCTGAGAGATTGGGGGGGAACTGGGAGGGATTGGGGGATTGGAGGGTGCTGGGAGGGATTAAGGGGTGTTAAAAGGGGTTTGGGGGCCACTGGGAGGGACTGGGAGGGATTGGGGGGCACTGGGAGGGATTAAATGGTGTTAAAAGGGGATTTGGGGGTCACTGGGGTGGACTGGGAGGGATTGGGGGACACTGGGAGGGGATTAAAGGGGGTTGGGGGACACTGGTTTATACTGTGAGGGGAGTGAGGGGAACTGGGAAGGGATTGGGAAGGAATTGAGGGTGGACTAGGAGGGCACTGGGGTGGACTGGGAGGGATTGGGGGGCACTGGGAGGGGATTAAAGGGTGTTAAAAGGGGGTTGGGGGCACTGGTTTATACCGGGAGGGGAGTGGGGGGAACTGGGAAGGAATTGGGGGTGGACTGGGAGGGCACTGGGGAGGACTGGGAGGGCACTGGGGTGGACTGTGAGGGACTGGGAGGGGATTAAAGGGTGTTAAAAGGGGGTTTGGGGGGTACTGGTTTATACTGGAAGGGGAGTGAGGGGAACTGGGAAGGGATTGGGAAGGAATTGGGAGTGGATTGGGAGGGCACTGGGGTGGACTGGGAGGGATTGGGGGATACTGGGAGGGGATTAAAGGGTGTTAAAGGGGGTTTGGGGGCCACTGGTTTGTACTGGCAGGGCAGTGGGGGGAACTGGGGTGGACTGGGAGGGCACTGGGGGGGATTGTGGGGGACTGGGAGGGGGTGAGGGGGACTGGGAGGGACTGGGAGGAGGTTTGGGGTTACTGGGAGGGCACTGGGTTATTGGCACTTAACTGGGAGCTGCTGTCGGGAAGTTTGGTGTCACTGGGAGCTACTGGTCCTTACTGGGAGTCACTGGTTTGGGGCTTGGGTTTGCTGGGAGGGTGTTTGAGATTACTGGTCTGTACTGGTCTGTACTGGTTCGTACTGGTTCGCAGCTCCGGAGCTGTTTGGACCCCGACACCTTCGGCCTCGTGACCCAGAAGTTGACGGAGCTGGAGCTGCTCCGGGACCCCCAGTTCCTGTGGTGCCCCCATGTACTGGGAGGCACTGGGAAGGGCTGGGAGGGAACTGGGAGGGAGTGGGAAGGGCTGGGAGGGAGTGGGAGGGGACTGGGAGGGACTGGGAGCAGCTGGGAGGGGATTATGGGGAACTGGGAGGGAGTGGAAAGGACTGGGAGTGGGGGTTAGGGTTACTGGGAAGGACTGGGAGGGAACTGGTGAGCAGTGGGAGGGACAGGAAGGTGCTTTAGGGTTACTGGGAGGAACTGGGAGTTACTGGGGTTTGGAGTTACTGGAGAGGGAATTTATGGTTACTGGGAGTTACTGGTTTGGGCTTCGGTGTGACAGGTGTGGGGTTTGGTGTTACTGGGGATTGCTGGTTTGGGGGTTGGTGTTACTGGGGATTGCTGGTTTGGGGGTTGGTGTTACTGGGGATTGCTGGTTGGGGGGTTGGTGTTACTGGGGATTGCTGGTTTGGGGGTTGGTGTTACTGGGGATTGCTGGTTTGGGGGTTGGTGTTACTGGGGATTGCTGGTTTGGTGTTTGGTGTTACTGGGGATTGCTGGTTTGGGGTTTGGTGTTACTGGGGATTGCTGGTTTAGAGGTTGGTGTTACTGGGAATTGCTGGTTTGGGGGTTGGTGTTACTGGGGATTGCTGGTTTGGGGTTTTGGGGGTTCCTGGGAATCAGTTTAGGGTTACTGGGAGTTACTGGGAAGGGGTTTAGTGTTGCTGGTTGTTACTGGTTTGGTGTTTGTTGTTACTGGTTTGGTGTTTGCTGTTACTGGGGGGGTGTTTGCCGTTACTGGTTGTTACTGGGGGGTTGTTTTGCTGTTCTTGGGGGGTCCCAGGAGGGTCTCTGAGCTCCCCCCTCCCCCCCCAGTGCTCCTTCGGGTTCATCTTCGAGGCCGAGCGGGGCCCGGCCCAGTGTCCCCAGTGCCACCAGTGCTGCTGCCCCCGCTGCCAGCGCCCGGTGAGGGGGCTGGGGGGTCTTTAGGGGGTGCTTGGGTGGGTTCTGGGAGGCTTTGGGGGCTCCCAGAGTGGATTTGGGGGGGATAAAAAGGGCTTTGAGGGGTTGCTGGTGGGTGTTTTGGGAGGGGATCTCTGGGGATCCCTCTAGGGGCTTTGGGGGTCATGGAGGGGGTTTGAGGGGTCTCAGGGTGGGTTTGGGGGATCCCTGGGGTCTTTGAGGGGTCATGGAGGGGGTTTGAGGGGTCTCAGGGTTGGTTTGGGGATCCCTGGGGGTCTTTGAGGGGTCTCAGGGTGGGTTTGGGGGATCCCTGGGGGTCTTTTGGGGTCTTGGGGGTCCCTGGGGGTTCTCTTGGGGTTTCTGTGGGGGTCTCTGGGGATCCCTGGGGGTCTTTGAGGGGTCATGGAGGGGTTTGAGGGGTCTCAGGGTGGGTTTGGGGATCCCTGGGGGTCTTTGAGGGGTCATGGAGGGGGTTTGAGGGGTCTCAGGGTGGGTTTGGGGGATCCCTGGGGTCTTTGAGGGGTCGTGGAGGGGTTTGAGGGGTCTCAGGGTGGGTTTGGGGATCCTGGGGATCTTTATAGGGTCTTGGGGGTCCCTGGGGTCTTTGAGGGGTCGTGGAGGGGTTTGAGGGATCTCAGGGTGGGTTTTTGGGGGCTCTCTGAGGGGTTTGGGGGAATCCTAAAGGGAGTTTGGGATGTTGGGAGGGTTTGGGGTGGGTTGGAGGAAATGTGGGGTGGGGGTCCCTTGGGGGTGTTTAGGGGAGTTCCTGGGGGTCTTTTGGGGTCATGGGGGTCCCTGGGGGTTCTCTTGGGGCTTCTGTGGGGGTCTCTGGGGATCCGTGGGGTCTTTGAGGGGTCGTGGAGGGGATTTGAGGAATCTCAGGGTGGGTTTGGGGGATCCCTGGGGGTCTTTGAGGGGTCGTGGAGGGGATTTGAGGGATCTCAGGGTGGGTTTGGGGGATCCCTGGGGGTCTTTTGGGGTCTTGGGGGGTCCCTGGGGGTTCTCTTGGGGTTTCTGTGGGGTCTCTGGGGATCCCTGGGGTCTTTGAGGGGTCATGGAGGGGTTTGAGGGGTCTCAGGGTGGGTTTGGGGGATCCTGGGGGTCTTTTGGGGTCATGGGGGTCCCTGGGGTTCTCTTGGGGTTTCTGAGGGGTCTCTGGGGATCCCTGGGGGTCATGGAGGGGTTTGAGGGGTCTCAGGGTGGGTTTGGGGGTTCTTGGGGCTCTCTGCGTTACTTGGGGATCCTTTGACGTTTCTGGGGTCCCTGGTGACCCTCAAATCCTCCCCCACAGTGGGACCCCAGCACTCCACCCTGTCCTGTGATGAGTTCGGGGCCTGGTTGAGTCTCCCGGACCCCAAGGAGCCTCGGGGGTCTGGGGGCTTTTCTGGGGAGCACGGAATTGGTGAGGGGGTCCTGGGGGCTTTGGGGGGATTGGAGGATCTGATGTGGTTTGGGGAGTCCTGGGGTGGGGGTTGGAGGAGATTTTGGGGTCCCTGGGGGTTGGAGGATTTTGGGGTCCCTGGGGGTTGGAGGGATTTTGGGGTCCCTGGGGGCAGGGGGTTTGGGGGAGGTTTGGGAGGTCCTAAAGAGAGATTGGAGCGGTGTCTGCTCCCTTTGGGGGGTGGGAGGGAGGATTTGAGAGATCTGGGGGGTTCTGAGGGACATTTAGGGGTTCTGGGGGTCTCAGTCCCATATTTGGGGTGGGGGGTGATTTGGGGGAGGGGTCCCAGGGGACAATTTGGATGATCAGGGGTGGAATTTGGATTTGAGGAGTCCTGAGAGGGAGGGGGGATAAGAGGGGGTTTGGGGAGGTTTGGGGGTCCTGGAGGGGTCTTTGGGGGGTCTCAGAGCCCTCCAGTGACCCCCAGAACCCCCCCAGTTTGCCCCTAGTGCAGGATTTGGGGGGGTCCCAGGGGTCTTTGGGGGGTCTCAGAGCCCCCCAGTGACCCCCAAACCTCCCCCAGTTTGCCCCCAGTGCAGGATTTGTGGGGTCCTGGGGGTTTGAGGGGTCCCAGGGTCTCTGGGGTCTCAGAGCCCCCAGTGACCCCCAAATCCCCCCCAGTTTGCCCCCAGTGCAGGATTTGGGGGGGTCCCAGGGGTCTTTGGGGGGTCTCAGAGCCCCCCAATGACCCCCAGAACCCCCCCAGTTTGCCCCCAGTGCAGGATTTGGGGGGGTCCCAGGGTCTTTGGGGGTCTCAGAGCCCCAGTGACCCCTCAAATCCCCCCAGTTTGCCTCAGTGCAGGATTTGGGGGTCCTGGGAGGTTTGGGGGGTCCCAGGGTCTTTGGGGTCTCAGAGCCCCAGTGACCCTAAATCCCCAGTTTGCCCCAGTGCAGGATTTGGGGGTCCCAGGGTCTTTGGGGGTCTCAGAGCCCTCCAGTGACCCCCAGAACCCCCCCAGTTTGCCCCCAGTGCAGGATTTGTGGGGTCCTGGGGCATTTGGGGGGGGTCCCAGGGTCTTTGGGGTCTCAGAGCCCTCCAGTGACCCAAATCCCCAGTTTGCCCCAGTGCAGGATTTGGGGGTCCCAGGGGTCTCTGGGGTCTCAGAGCCCTCAATGACCCTCAACCCCCAGTTTGCCCCAGTGCAGGATTTGGGGGTCCTGGGTGGTTTGGGGGTCCCAGAGGTCTTTGGGGGTCCCAGGGGTCTCTGGGGTCTCAGAGCCCCCAGTGACTCTAACCCCCAGTTTGCCCCAGTGCGGGTGTGGTTCGCACTGGCCCGAGAGAGTGTTGCATTTCAGTGCTCCCAGTGCCGGCACCAGTTCTGCGCTGGCTGTGGGGCCACCTTCCATGGGCCAGGGTGAGGGGGACTGGGAGGGACTGGGAGGGGACTGGGGGCACTGGGGAGAAGAACTAGGGAGAACTGGAATATACTGGGAGGACTGGGAGGGATTGGGGGCACTGGGAGAATTTGGGGAGAACTGGGATATACTGGGAGGGACTGGGAGGGGATATGGAGGGCACTGGGAGAATTTAGGAGAACTGGGATATACTGGGAGGGGTGGGGGGAACTGGGAGGCACTGGGGAGAACTGGGATATACTGGGAGGGGACTGGGAGGGGATTGGGGGCACTGGGAGGAGAACTGGAATATACTGGGAGGGACTGGGAGGGATTGGGGGCACTGGGAGAATTTGGGGAGAACTGGAATATACTGGGAGGGACTGGGAGGGGATTGGGGGGCACTGGGAGAATTTGGGGAGAACTGGGATATACTGGGAGGGACTGGGAGGGGATTGGGGGGCACTGGGAGGAGAACTGGAATATACTGGGAGGGACCGGGAGGGGATTGGGGGTCACTGGGAGAAGAACTGGGGAGAACTGGGATATACTGGGAGGGACTGGGAGGGGATTGGGGGGCACTGGGAGAAGAACTGGGGAGAACTGGGATATACTGGGAGGGACTGGGAGGGGATTGGGGGTCACTGGGAGAAGAACTGGGGAGAACTGGGATATACTGGGAGGGACTGGGAGGGGATTGGGGGGCACTGGGAGAATTTGGGGAGAACTGGGATATACTGGGAGGGACTGGGAGGGGATTGGGGGCACTGGGAGAAGAACTGGGGAGAACTGGGATATACTGGGAGGGACTGGGAGGGGATTGGGGGTCACTGGGAGAAGAACTGGGAAGAACTGGAATATACTGGGAGGGACTCGGAGGGGATTGGGGGGCATTGGGAGAAGAACTGGGGAGAACTGGAATATACTGGGAGGGACTGGAAAGGGATTGAGGGGCACTGGGAGAATTTGGGGAGAACTGGGATATACTGGGAGGGACTGGGAGGGGACTGGGGGGCACTGGGAGAATTTGGGGAGAACTGGGATATACTGGGAGGGGGTGGGGGGACTGGGAGGCACTGGGGAGAACTGGGATATACTGGGAGGGACTGGGAGGGGGATATGGGGTACTGGGAGAAGAACTGGGGAGAACTGGAATATACTGGGAGGGACTGGGAGGGGACTGGGGGCACTGGGAGAATTTGGGGAGAACTGGGATATACTGGGAGGGTGGGGGTGGGAACTGGGAGGCACTGGGGAGAACTGGGATATACTGGGAGGGGTGGGGGTGGGGAACTGGGAGGCACTGGGGAGAGCTGGGATATACTGGGAGGGGTGGGGGAACTGGGAGGCACTGGGGGTCCTGGGGGGACTCTATGGGAGGTTTGGGGGGAATTGGGAGGCACTGGGCATCCTGGGGCCTCTATGGGAGGTTTGGGGGAACTGGGAGGCACTGGGGAACTGGGGGACTCTATGGGAGGTTTGGGGGAACTGGGAGGCACTGGGGGAACTGGGGGACTCTATGGGAGGTTTGGGGGTTTTGGGGCAGTTTGGGGTGGTCTCGGTGGGTGCTGGGGAGTCCTGGGGGTCCCTAAGGGGAGGTTTGGGGTGGTTTGAGGGTCTCTGGGGGATTTGGGGGTCCCTAAGGGGAGGTTTGGGATGGTTTGAGGGTCTTTGGGGATTTGGGGTCCCTAAGGGAGGTTTGGGGTGGTTTGAGGTCTCTGGAGGATTTGGGGGAATTTGGGGGTCTTTAAGAGGGTCTTGGGGTGGGGTGGGAGGTGGGGATTTTGGGGGTCTCTGGTTTTTTGGGGGGATTTTGGGTCTATGTTTTTTTTCTCTGGGGGATGTTTGGGGGATCCTGTGGGGGATTTTAGTTTAGTTTTGGGGATCCTGGGGATTTTGGGGGTCAGATCTTTGTTTGGGTGTGTCCCCCAGACCTGCCTCCCCGACTGCCCCCTGCGGGGTCCCTCCACGGGCACCACCCCGGGACTGTCTGTTCTACCTGAGGGATTGGGACCCCCCCCGGCTGCAGAGGCTGCTCCAGGTGCGACTGGGGGGGACTGGGAGGGACTGGGAGGGGATTGGAGGAGACTGGGAGAGGATTGGGGAGACTGGGAGGGGATTGGGGGACTGGGAATGGACTGGGAGAGGATTGGGGAGACTGAGGGAACTGGGAAGGAGTGGGGGACTGGGAGGGATTGGGGAGACTGGGAGGATTGGGGAGACTGGG